TCAGGTCCAAGATAAAGATCCTCATATGAAACATGATGTCCTTCCAGCAATGCTGTGGGGCTTGGCTCGGCTGCAGTGCTCGTCCGGAGTGAGTTGAGTTTGCTGCACACACTCTGTGCATGTGACCGAGAGACACGTAAAAGGTGGAGGATAATTAAAGGCTTGGTTTTTGTCATTAGTGTAATGGAGCACTGCAGTGCTACACAAGTATGTTGGTAGCAGGGATGTGCATTAGCCAGGGCTAATTTAGCTTGAGTACGTTTTGCAGATTTAGGGTTACCATCCAGACATGAACCACACAAAACAACGCCCTATGTATTCAGAAAAAAACATTTTCTAGATTTTTTAAACTGGATTGCTTTTGACTTGGTAACAGATGTCATTAGTCCTTAAGATGTAAGGCTTATTTTGTTAAATTACCTTATTTTAGACTATTCAGACATGTTGAAGGGTAAGACCTCAATTATGTTTTTTAGCTACTCAACAAGTCAGTGCTCGTCTCTGGTTTTCGGTAAACGTACCTATTTATTTATGTAAATAAATAGTGAGGCAGAGAAAAGGACCTTGGTGATCTTGCATAAGTTAAACAACACCAATAGTGGTGTTTTCTCTTGATATCCCGAAAAGTCTTGCGGATAAATGTGGATGATATGCTCCTGTTTTATCTCATATTTTACTCTCCACAGACGTATGTTTCCACGCTCAAGCCATCAGAAATTGGACAAAAAGTTACATTTGGCCAAACTCACATTAAGGAATAATAGCACCTTTTCCACCTTTACTTTGAGGCTTGAATGCAAACCATCTCTTCCCTATCACTGCACATCTATGTTTCTGCTGCGTAAGCCAAGCCATGTACCCCCTTCCATTAAAGATTTTGCTGCATTGACGTCAGCCTTTTTCCGGCACTGCAGTGTATCATATGATGTGTATGTCACCACCGGCAGCTCTTTGCCAGTTCAATGCATGGATGTATCCTGCGACATCATAATAAATCTCTTTAATTGAGCAGAGAGCAGAACGCTAGTATTTTCTTTAGCACACTCAGCTGCAGTGTTCCTGTAACCACACCACTTCATGAATGCATATGAGCCCCTGTAAAACGTTATTGACATGCCTGTACATCTTTTATTCAGTGGTTTGCTGAAGGCCAAAACAGGCATCTTTTGTTGATTTTAAAATATTCAACTTTGTGATGGTGTTTTGTCCAAAAAAGTGTATCTCTAACTTCTAATTTTATTTTATTTGTGACGTAGTCTAAAATGTGAATCCTATTTCACTCATTTAACTATTTTATGATAATAAAACTTTTATTTAAACAGCACATAAGCACTAAAGAGCTAAGTGCTAAGCAACTAAATATAAAATAGCAAGCAAGAGACAAAGCAACGGACTGGAAATGCGGACATCAATCCTAATACACACAATTCTAAAACAACAAAGAAAAGGCAAATGTTAACAAATCAGTCTTGCGCTGCTTGGGCAAAAGTTTGGCTGCAGCATTTTGGAAATCTTGTAGCGATTTAAGGAAGTTTTGCTGAGGCAGGGGCAAAGATAATAACAGCATGTTAAGACTGACGTAAATTAATAAGTAAAGAGAGTCATAATTTCCAACTTAGCTGTGCAAAGGGCCCACGTTTAGCAATGTTCCTCAGCTGGTAAAAACAGGATTGAACCAAACAATTAACATGCTGGTTAAAGCTCAAAGCCTGGTTTAAATATTAAGTTAAACCGGCATCTGTTAATTAGGTTTTTTGCCACTTGGGGGCAGTGCAAAAATGTATCACCTTTTAAAGTTAAGCTTAATATTTTAACAAACAGTTGGCCATACATCCAACAGATAGGAAGGTATATGCGTTCACATTAAGTTCTATTGCTCGCCATCTGATCAATGCATGTCAATTTATAACTCATTTTAAGCTTAACTTTGCTCTCCGGCAGTGGCTCAGTCAGTAGGGGCTTGGACTGGGAGCTGCAGAGTCGCCGGTTCAAGTCCCCGACCAGACCTAAAATATGGAGTGTGGACTGCTACTTGGAGAGGTCCCAGTTCACCTCCTGCCCTGCCGTGGTGCCCTTGAGCAAGGCACCGGACACCCCCCTTCCCCCCTCACTCCCATTGCTCCCCGGGTGCTGTACAATAGCTGCCCACTGCTCCTAGTACTAGACTCCTGGTACTAGGATGGGTTAAATGCAGAGGCCACATTTCACTGTGTGTGCTGTGTGCGCTGTGTGCTCTGCATGTGAGACCATTAAAGAGGGTTTCATCCCTCCCAATTCTATTCTATCTATCTATCTCGACCAACAGAGATATTTTTGTCTCTGGAAGCACTATACAGTTTGATTGATAATTACTTTCTTTTTCTCTTAAACTGTTCCCATAAAATCCCATGTGTAACATACTGTACATGCAAATGAATACAAATGAATGGAGAGACTAAAAAAACTTGTTGGTGATAAAGTTCAACTTTATTCACTTCAGGGTAACAAATATAATAAAGTTTTGTGATGTAAATGATTTAAATTACATTGTCAAGAAAATGAACTGAAATATGTTAACATTGATTTTCCAATTGGTATAAGTATGCCACAAATAAAAGAACAAGTTATGGCTTCTATAAACTATCAGTGCCAATTGATAAAAAATAATGTAGGTCAAAATAAATATCACTTTCCTCTAAAAATGTTTCAACATTCTTATGACATTTCTTTATTACAAACTTTGCTCCTTTCTATTTCTACACACATTGTTGCACACGGGGCTGGCTCATTTTATTGATTCTGGTTTACTACATTGACCGGGAGTTACAATATCATTATAGTTACAGTATTATGTTTATAAAGTCAATATTGTAGCATTGGTGTAGATGTTGAGAGCATGAGCTGATGATGATGATGATATTCACACAGTCCTCCCCTGAAGAAGTGGACGACTCTCTCCTGGTGACTGACGACTCAACAGGTTCCACAACAACAAAGGCATTGATGTTACTGCAGAGCTTCCTCCATTACTGTCAGAGTCTTCTCTGAGTGGCTGGTACTGCTTGAACCGCCTGTTGAGAAACATGAGGCCAGAAAGACTGATGAGAAGAGTTCACCCATGATTAGACAAACAAAAAATGTGGTTTTCCCCAGTGAAACAAAATAGTTTATCTGGCCTGAAATGAAGACATAAATGTCAAAAAGAACCAAAAAACATAAAAATTCAACAAGATGTTTAAATCGTGGAAATAAATTCATGTTCCCGACTTTCTCAGGTGTCATCAGGATTATATACTATAATAAGGTTACATTTAAAGAAGTCCACGGTACCAGGTGTTACGTCTTGTGTTTATAAGTCAAATATTTAAATGTATTCTCTGCAAAATAACAGCATGCTAACATTGACATTGTGAGCATGTTAGCAGGCTGATCAGGAGCTTGTTTGTTTAGGTGTTCCACAGGGATCTATCCCTGGACACCTTTCTCTTGCTTATTACATATTTTGCTGTTAAGATTTTTTACATTATTCATGTTGGCTACTGACATGGCTACTGAAAAATTAAAGTGAGCCCTCAATACTGTTATCACCTGTTTCTTTTTGCTGTGACAATTTAATTTCCAACATTTAAAATGGGTCAAAATATGAAACTTATTGTGCTGAGAATTTTTTTGACGGTTTGCTGTTTTACACACTGCAACCAGGACAACCAATTGACCATTATTACAGTGTCTTTGTTTGCAACTTATCTTTCATTAATCAAACTTTTGAAGTGTTCTATTTTTAGTCATGCTGACCTCATATCAAATGTAAAAATGAAGTTGAAAATGAGCTCCTCACCTGTACATCAAACCAATACAACAGACAACACAGGCGAGAACCATGACCCCCACGACTGTGGCTGCGGTTCCAGCTGGGGAACCACTGGATGCTGAAATAGAAGCATATCATACCAATAAGAAAATAATCTAGATATTGAGTATAGTGGTTATAAATGAAAATGTTACTTTCACCCACCTACTATTACACTGACTCTAGCACTTGCAACAGCAAGACTGACATCATTGGTCAATGAGACATTGATGCAAAATATTCCTGAGTCATTGAAGAACTGACGAAGAATCATTTGACAGTCTGGAGAGGGAGTAGCTGCAGTACAGATTGTTTCCACTGGTGTGATGCAGTCCGCGTCTGAAATCACTGTGCAGACCTCACTTGGCAGGCTTAAAGAAGAAGAACGAAAATGTGTTGACATAGTAAGGGAGAATATTCACAAGCGGTTATTATTTATAAAGGTGTCTCAATGCAATCGTGGTGTTCATGTGTTGAAATCCAATTGGTGAAAACAAGCAAACATAAGGCTATAAACAACTACACCACTGTTTGCATGTCCTCACGCAACCAGCACTGAGTAAAGGAGCTTTCTTGTGTTTGGCCTGATGATGTTTAATTGCCCCGACAACCTTTATTTACTGACATAATTTATGTCATAGAAAAATACGTAAAAATCTCGAGACTAGGAAACAGGATGTGCATACAGCCTGACAAATGTCTGTGTTTTAGCACTCATTTCAGTAGCACTCTGTATAGAGATGATAATGTTACTGCTCACCTTCCCTGGCAGGAGATGGTGATGTCCACAGCGTTCTGATCCAACTCGGTCGCCATTGCTACCACGTTGGTCATCTGTACAATCTCTACACTTTCAATACCCTCTGCAGAGTTGAAAATGTTGGAAAGAGAGATATAAAATGATTAAATCATGCTGTGTAAAGCAGAATATTATATGTTGAGGTTCAAAGTGTCATGGTTAAAAAACTATATTGACTTACGGATAACCTCTACAGATGTGGCGAGGGAGCCATAACGGTAGACCGTGCAGTCTTCTGTCAGCTCTGGTGCTTGTCTCTTAGCCAAAATGATGGGAACCAGTGCTGGATCTATTTCCGCCTCTGCTTGAACCTCAGCTTCAGCTGCAACAGCCGCTTCATCACCTGCTGTTTGCATTAGAAATGTTATCATTGTTAAAATAATGATTTTTACATTTTTTGTCAAGTAATATTAGTTTGTAGTAAACACTCACCTGCAGGAGCTGCAGTAGCTGCAACTTCGTTCTCAGTTGCCTGTACTTCAGCCTCAGTATCAGCAGCTGGTGCTGCCTCTTCTACAATTGGGGTCTCAGTGGCAGCAGGAGCTACAACATTATCAGCAGGGGCTTCTGTTTCAGCTGCAACAACGTCTGCGGCAGCAATAACAGCGGCATCATCAACAACAGCAGCATCGACAGCAACAACGACATCGGCAGCAACAGTCGCCTCAGCAGCAACATCTACAGCAGCAGCATCGGTAGCAGCATCTACAGCAACAGTAGCCTCAGTAGCAGCATCGATAGCAGCATCTACAGCCAGAGTAGCCTCAGTAGCAGCATCGATAGCAGCATCTACAGCCAGAGTAGCCTCAGTAGCAGCAGCAACAGCAACATCAGCATCAACCGCAGCAGCCACAACGTCAGCTTCCTGCTCAACTACTTCTGTTGCAGGAGCAACAGTAACAGCGGCAGCAGCGTCCACTGCAGCTTCTTCTCCCTCTGCAACAGGTGCAACTGAAGCAGCAGCGTTGATCAGAGCCGCATCTTCTTCAGTTGCGTCTGTTAACACTGCTGTTTCATCTGCAACAGCTGCATCTGCATCTGCAACAACTGCATCTGCATCTGCAACAACTGCATCGGCATCTACAACAACTGCATTTGCATCTGCAACAACTGCATCTGCAACAACTGCATCGGCAGCAGCTGCATCGGCATCTACAGCAGCTGCTGTCTCTTCAGCTGCAGGTGCGACAGGGGCTACAGTAGCCACCTCACCTGCTGCTTCTGCATCTTCAGCTGCAACATCTGCTTCTGCAGCAGCGGCAGCAGTGTCCTCTGGAAGGACTGCTGCGTCAACTGCAGGTGCAACTGAGGCAACCTCCACTGCTTCTGCGTCTGTATCAGCGACTGCATCTCCCTCTGCTGCTTCAGCTGGCTGCACAGAGGCAGGAACATCAAGAGCAATCACATCTCCTCCCTCTGCTGTTACTGCTGGGACAGCTTCAGCGGTGGAGGGCACCACAACTACTGCTGGTATCGCAGAGGCATCAATAGGAACAACTGAAAGAAACATTTAGAGCAGAACATATCATTAAAACATGTTTACTGCTTGTGCACATACGTTTGTGTATCTGGAGTGCCTATTATCCCAAATAATGTGAAATACCCATTGAGTTTTCAATTAAAGTACAAAGCTGAACATTAGCATAATATATCCCCTTTAAAACAACTAAGCAAAAATGTATGTCATACTTCTGTACATAGAGTATGTATTCCTGGAAGATAAAAAGGTAATCATTAGTTAAATCTCACCAGCAGTGGGGGATCCGCAGCCATTGGAGATGCTTGCCATCAGGACCACCTGAGGTTTGAAGGTCCCGACTGCGAGATATGTGTGTGTGACAGTGAGCTCTCTGGAGATCAGAGTACCGGTGCTGTCACCAAAGTCCCAGCTGAAGCTGACGTCGGCGCTGTTGAGGTACTGACTGGGGTCATGGAGCTTGACAGTGAAGGCAATGGCTCGGTTCTGGATGAAGTTCTGGTCGTTCTGGTTTACATCATTGATTTGGGCAAGTGAGATGGTGAAGGGAATCTGATCTAATGACGGAGTAAAAGATGTAGAACAACTCTTTATTATCGACTTCAATAACAGAAACGTAATGATGAATAAAGAAAAAATGATGTTGTAGAATATTTGTTATCAAGTGTAGTTTTAAATTGTACGATAGGTCACCTGTGATGGCGAAGTACGTGGAGGCATAGCCGAGAGGGATGAACTTGTCTTTGCCACGGCAGTGATAGATGATAACCTCCATGTTGTACGAGCCCAGGGGGACGTTGTCGGTGCCGATAGAGAGGGAGGAGGACGGTCCATCTGCCACCTGCCAGTAACGCCCTTGGATAGAGGAACATTGTGATTACTCAGAGTGGTCCGTTCATCGTGACAACATTTATTAAATTCACACATTTTGGAGACATTCCAGATGTCACTTTCATCAGGAGTACATGAGAGGCTATTTTAACGGACACAAAAAAGGCCTGTTTTTCATTTGTTGTGAAAGACCAACAGATTATATTTTAGTTGTTAATTTTTTTATTCTGCTGAGGATAATACTTTTTGTATGACAAAATACTTGAAAGATTTTAATCAAATTTGTGAACAAGTTGGCCTCTTCTTAGTCGATTAGGAGCTCTGCTATTGACTGAATGAATAAAGTTAAACTTCATAACATGTTTACCAAAACAGGTAAGCCTGGTGATCTACAGTAAAAATGATAAACTGAAGCTACTGTGCAAAAATGAAGATGATACTAATTAAATCCTGCATAAGTTAACAAAAGTAATTCCTTTGAAAACTGTTTTTTAAGGTTTTGTTTTCTAATGTAAAGGTGATGTCAGAGATAAGCACAGACAAGGCTTTGTACGAGTAAGACCCGGGGCAAATGTTTGAATTTAAATTCCCTGCCTGGAGCAGAAACATCCCCTGTATGCTTTACAGCCCTTTTATTGTCTGCTCTTTGTCTCTATGGATCATTTACATGTTAATGTGATGTAGTTATAGCTTCATTTGAAAGTTTGGGATGTCCTACTGCGGCATAAATTACAGCTAAAGTGCAGCCTTGGTTCTTAACAGACTTAATATTATAAAATGAATATATTTACCCCATGTCTTCCACACAAACACATAGTGGGGCTTCTTGTTTTGACTCCTGAAAGGTGTGCCGTCAGGGAAAACTCCGGTGGTCTGGGTGTCCTGGTCCGGATAGACAGGCTGACCCTCCTGGTACTCTCGTCCTGAAAAAGATTAGGTCATAGATACATAATCAATAATATAAGAGGCATGATCATCTATAACACTGCATGTCAACATGAGTCAACACAGGGGGAATATTAGTTGGGAGAGGGAGTTATCTTTTTTTTTATCTGAATGAAATACAGCTTCAAAATCACTTTGCTTTATGGCTAGGATTAATTGACAATAGCCATTCACAGAAAACATTAATTATTTAAGGCAAGACACTATAGAGGATTACACTTACTTAACCCTTCACATTGAGGTGCTTTCTTACACAAACGTTTACATTATATAATGCTCAATTTGTATATTTTAACAATATATTTCATATAACAAAAATTAGTTTCGATCTATAAGCTAATATGTCGCCGCTTTTTAAAAATCAAGTATCCCCTAGCTGAAAGAAATCAGACCAATTTCTAAATGTGAAAAGACCAAAAAGAATGAAATCTCTCTAGAAAACACCATGTCGAAACGTTTCATGACATGATCTATGTTTGAAATCTCTGTTAAAATGATCTTGTGGTTTTGAGCATGAATTAAAATATTACAATTATTATATCACAATTAGTTTCTAGCTGGAATGGGTTTTTCTTACCATTGATGGTGCAGTTTTGCGCCCAGACCACCTGCCCGTCAGAGAGCATGGTCTGGTTTGGTGGGAAGTTCAGATTAATGTTGAAGGTTGCTCGTGCTCCAGTCAGAGTGGGTGCATCGTTTTTCAGTTCAAAAGTTACATCACCACCTGGAAATTAGGATTACATACAATGTATCATCTTTAGATGGGATGGCAGAGAAAATGTTGCAACATTTCTGTTTTGAGAAATAAAGGAAAAAGGCCTCACCAAACCAACAGTTCCTGAACCTCGGGTCTCCATCTTTCCACACCGGATACATCCGCGAGTTCCATGAGCGGTAACGCGTGAACTGACTTCTAGGCTCTGGAAGAAGTATCACAAACTCTTTCAGGAAAAGAGGCCAGCAAAGCTACTCTAAGCAAAACTAAAAAAAGAAATGTTTATATAAGATACAACCCAGAAAATGTACATGCCAGCTAAAGATTATCACTCATTGAGGAACATGATTTCCAAACTGTCCAGTAGTTTCAGTAGGTAACTGTACCAACAAATGGCTTAATACTAATTGAACTCTGTGCAAATAAAAATGTAAAATAAAGTTCAATTAAAAATGTTATTATTCTCTTAAATATCATCAACAACCAACACAAATGATAGAAAGATATAGAGAATAAGCAGGTTTTATTCATGATGCTTATGTAACGAGCAGGTCTGTGTGTTTGGAGGAGGGGTGGGGGGTGTCGGGGTTATTGGTGGTGGGAGTCACACGACCTGCAATCCCCCTCAATCCCCCTCAATCCCTTTCATGTGACTATCAGCTGAGCAGCAGCACCAGTAATCCCAGAGAGGAATGAGGGATCCCAGACAACTGGCTCACTGCGGTTTTCCTTAGCTTGTGATGTGTGTGTGTGTGTGTGTGTGTGTGTGTGTGTGTGTGTGTGTGTGTGTGTGTGTGTGTGTGTGTGTGTGTGTGTGTGCGTGTGCGTGCGTGTGTGTGTGTGTGTGTGTGTGTGTGTGTGTGTGTGTCTGTAAATGTTTTGCATTAAACTACAAAGTACAACCCAATAGCATAACGCATTTTTTTTTTAAGTATTAGTGTGAAAAGAAAAGTGGTTAATGAACTATGTTTTTTAATCAAAGCAGACACTTTTAAATATATTTAAAGCCTGCAGTACTAAATATAAATAGGCATAAAAACCAGCGTGATATTGGTATGTAAAAGTTTGCACATCTTTCCTCACAACCCAGACAGCATAAAATGAGCGTGAAATGTTGAGTCAATGTATTTGCTCTTTGATTCACAGTCCAAACAAAGAGATATTCTAGTGTGTAATTGATGGGAACGCAGGATGTTTTGGTTAGATTTAATTAAAATGTTCCGCTTTCCCTGGTGCTGAATTGTGTTTGAGATATGGTCTTACATCAGACACAGCAACAACTCAATTAATTTAGACTTCGTTTTCAAACTTTGTTTTGTCTCTTTTACTGTTTTTATGGTTTTATTTTTACTTTATTTACTATTATTGCATGAAACTACAGCACATTTAGTTCTATGAAAGGTGAAGAAAAAGAAAGAGAGGAATTGTGCTCAAAGGTAATTCTACTGCATCAGAATCAGGTTTATCGCCAAGTAACTCTCCACAAACAAGGCTTTGCTTGGTGTGTATATTTGAACACAGTCAGAGAAACTATGATGGTAAACAGAACAAAACTATGCCGTTTCTCTTAATGTTGTTATTTTTTTGTTAATTTAGATAGAAATGTTCAATGAAGTGGCACTAGGGAAATAAAATGACATGGGAAAGAGATGTACTCACTTGTTGCAGTGGCAAATGTAAAAGCTGAAACCAGCAGCACCAGTGACAGAGTCCTCATCCTGAATCTGGTCGTCTGTCTCCTCTCTCTGAGCCTCACCCTGCAGTCCTGAACCCAACACAACTTCCAGAGAGACTTAAGAAATGTCCTCTCCCTCTCTTTAAGAGGGCCTCAGAACTGAATTACCATAACGTTTCTCTGTAACCTCTGACATCATGGGGAGCCAGACTGGCACCACCCTCTTTGGTAAGAACAGATAAGTACTGTTTTGATAACTTTTGTTTTGTTGGAGAATTGATGTGTTACTCACAAATTTGACATTATCATCTGTTTTAGTACACTTTATTTTCTGTATCTGAGCATACACTTTTTTTGCTTAATCTGTAATGTGTGTTTTTTGTGTGAATCGCGTTCAAGGTGAATTACAATTTCTACCCATGATAAATGTGAAATTGTACAGTTGCTTAATGCAAACAAATTGATATAGTGAAAGAAGATAATTGACATGAACCCAAAGTAACAGATATCCCTCAAGCAGTACAACATTTTCTGAGTGTAATAATGGAAAATCAATGAATGCTTTTTGCACGGTGTGAATGAAAATGTTGTACGTGCAGAACAAAAAGGACCGACGGTGAGAGCTGTAAGCAAGGCTCGAGTCATGTGTGTTTTTGACGTATGACCTTGGAGCTATGTGTATAAGAGCGTCACAAGAGGAGTGGGTGGGTGGGAAATCAATAGCATCCTTTTATTTCCTCAACCATTCCTCCGCATCCTGCTGTCCACCTCAGGCTGCTGCAGCTCTAGGAATATGGGATTGCAGTAAAACAGACACACCCGTGCTCGGCTTATGTTACTCATCACAAAGTTTCTTTCAGAAGAAGACAAGAGTACATTAAAGGAAAGAGTGGTTTGATCCTGTAACTGATTTGAAATGTAAAATGTTTCCATATTAAATGTTAACATTGTTGAGTAAAAATACTTTTCTCTTCTCACTTGTTTATACTCCACACATGAATAACATTTATAAAGAATCCCACTTAAGGCATATTTAAGTAACACAAAGCAAGTTACATCAATACATCTTGAAGGTGTCATTGACACATCACAATAAAGGATTCATGTTATTCTGATGTTCTGCAGAGCTGAAAAAGCTTCATTTAAATTTGTAGAAAAACACAGTTTAATCATTCTACTATGAAGCAGAGAGATGTTGTAGACTTGTATATTTGTCAAAATTAACAAACATTGAAAGTAAAATAATAAATAAAGTGTAGTTGCTACAGAAGAGGCCGCCTTGAGCATTGTCAATCAGCAAGTTCATTTTAATAAAACAAAAGTCAACACAAGGATGTTTAGGATTTAGAAAATGTAAATTACTCAAAAGAAGAAATACATATATTATTTTGGGAGGTTTATGACAAAATAAAAAGTTTGAGAATTGGATGAAACTCTCTTTTAAAAAGTGGACAGGTAAGTTATATGTTTAATCATTTACAGTGACTACCTTTTATTTGTCTCTTTCCCAATATATTTAACCGTTCCTTTTTCTTTGGAATTATTGTAACTAAATGTATGCAGTCATTTTGATAAACTAATTTTAAATAATCATTAAGCACTCATGTTATGTATGTATATCTTATAGAGATAAGGCACATGTATACATATATATATCTACAGAAAGATAAAGCTTGACTCTTAAGACGGCGTCAGTGTGTTTTCTAATACAAAGGGGATTGGTGGTTTTCCCACTGCTGTTGTCTCATGTCTGCTCAGGCTGCACTACATGTGACCCCTCATGTGCTAACAGCAGAGTGCAGGAGGAATAAATCCTTCCCACAGAGCACCTGACTCAACATACCACAAATAGTTGGCTGTTAGTCTTTTTGCTCATTAGTCTTTGTTTATTTAGTATGTTAATAACATTGTTCCTGGGAAAGTATAGAACTATTAACTAACTGGTAATACAGAATTAAAGAGTTGTTTTTCCAGATTTGGGAAGTAATTGGTAAAAAATGTAATATCATTGATTTTTTCAACCGATCAATTTATAGGAATACTTCTTGATGTGTACTGGTTGAATTTGACTGCAATTTAGTTTTTAGTAGTTTTCTTCACAATGAACCAAAATCAAATGGTTAGCCTTTGTGCAATAGCCTTAAAGAAATGTTACAAGCAATGGAAGGGCATCAAATGTAATATTTGGGCCAAAATCAAGCTTGGATGCCCTAAATTATTTAAACACAGAGCCTTTGCAACCTGGAGTCACCCACACTGACACGCTTTTGTGTTTTTAAACATTAATTGCAGAAAATGGGGATTGTGTTTTATTATTGGCCAAAGGCAGATCAATAAGGCCGTCTAGTTTGTGAAATGCCAATACAAAATCAGACGAGACAGGAAAATAAGTTCACGAACACAACAAACATAGCAGTCATCCAATGCCTTCACAAAGCATAAAACAAAACTCCCTCATTTTACTCAGTGATCATGATTTCTATTCTGAAGGCCATTTATTTGTTCTCATCGCAAGGAACACCAGCACTCTAAAATGACAAATAAATTGCCCATTTGTGCAAACACAAAGCAGAGCTTACAGTAATAAACACAATTTATATCAGAACAAAATCTGGCGTTATAAATCCTCAGAAAAGGAACCTGTCACCTGATTATCAATGTCCACACAAAGGTTGTCTTAACTAAGTAACCAACATTTTAGGATGTGCACTAGCAGCCATAGAGAAAACTGGTAACATTATCTCTGTAATAAAAGTAAGTTAGACCAAACTGTCAAAGAAACCAACATACATTTATACACAGGTAGTATATAGCAGCATTGAATGCCTTTAACTCACATCTAATAACCTCAATCATAACATAATAAGGCAACACTTCACATATTAAGCTGCTGTGTGGATACATGTCCAGCCTCTGGGCTTTGATCATGTGCAGTGCTGTATGAGCTTCTAACAAAGGCTGTTTCTTCCTGCAGAAACAGATGACATCCAATGCCTCATGACCAATCCTGCTACATATTTCAGATGAATAAAGGCCGTTTGGACAGCACACATTTTAGGTTGTAATAGCAGGAAAGCACAGGTGTGACCTAAATACATTAATGATGGCTTTGTTTGTTCGCGTGTCCCTGTAATGAATTACATTGTGACAGTGAACCAGCATGCACAACCCCAGGAACCTGACACTGAAGCAGCTAAAGGGAATTCTGCAATAATTATTTTTATTGTTTACACTTGTGCTTTTTCTGTTGTTACATGTGAGTTTGATTCTGACTGAGGATCTTTGTTGCACTTGGCCCTGGGGGGTTTCAGAGAGGCCCAGCAGCTCTGAGGGTCTGCATGGTTAATCTGAGCCCTGGAGGCGAAGTCTGCTATTGAATAACGCATGATCAGAGGGAAACACGTGAGGTGAAAGGTGAAAATATCCTATTTTTTATCAGGACAATCTTGAGCCCCAAACACAGGTGTGACATGGTTGCAACATGTTGTCATTTCTGGTAAAACAAATACATCATAAATGCAGAGGAAAGTACTTTGAGTAAAAGTAGAAGTACCAGAGTGTAGGAATACTCTTTTGTTTTTACAAGTAAAAGCCCTGCAGTCAAAATGTTACTCAAGTAAAAGTAGAAAAGTATTAGCATCAAAATATACTCAGAGTACCAAATGTAAAAGTACTCATTATGCAGATTGGACCATTTCAGATATATCATGTTTATAATTATGCTTTAATGTGTTTATCAAAGGTGCAGCTATTGAATTACTTTGTACACTGCAGGGTAGCTTGTGAATTTACTCCAGGTGTAACTAAAGTCTTATTTGAGTGTTGATTATATTTCACATTAATCCAAATCTGTAAAGTAACTAAAGGTACTGCGTAAATGTAGCTGAGTAAAAGTACACAATTTACCTCTGATTTGCAGTGGAGTTAACGTACAAAGTAGCATAAAATGGAAATACTCAAGTAAAGTACAAGTATCTCAAAAGGTTACTTAAGTACAGTTTGAGTAAATGTACCTAATTACTTTACACCTCTGCATAAATGTTATTTGTTCCTCCAGTTGATCTGCTATGACAAGCTAAAATGTCCGCTGTAAAATAGGTGTATAAATCTTTTTTGTTTAAGAATAATTGATTTCCCCCCCAGCTTTTACACCAGTGTGATAGAAATAGGTCTTAACCAGTAAGGGTGGGCCCAGATACACTGACTGCCACTAGAGGGGGCAGCTGTATTTCCCCTTCTCTACTGTTCAGAAAACCTATTTTAGAAAATAAAAATGTACATGTCTTACTGTCTATGTTCAGCTGTTTTATTTGTATCTATTTTTTATTTAAATGATTCACACTTGCAGTACATTTCCTTATTTGATTTCCTAATTTCCTTTAATGTGTTTAATGTATGCACAAAACACCATACCATTGAAAGTAAGTGAATATTCCTATGTTTTGGAAAAAAACTTGAGCATAAACGTATCCAAATATGTGAAAGAATGATGTGCTTTGAATTTCCTTGTGTTGTGTGGCACCAATTCAAAAACGTTGTTTGATTCACTAAATTATTTTTCTATAGACCAAAGAGCTGTGATTCTTATGTCTTTTTATGACACCCTCGCCGTTTTCCTATTTTATAAAGCACATTTTAAAAAGCCACTTTACTTGTAGTATGATACAAGAAGTTTGAACAGGTTATTTTGTTAATGAAAATAAGAAAAAATAACACTTCCGTTCACGGCGGTTATGACGTAAAAACGTCATCTTCGTGTCAAGATGAGGTTTGTTTTCTGGCGTTTGATTCCTTTTCCGGTATAACACGATCTCCTCTATCAACGTGAACCGAATTACAATAAAACATCGAATTCAACTCAATGTACACCTTTTTATAAATAAACATTTCACACACGTGTCTTCACCAGGGTCCTTCACATCGATTCACAAGGAAGGCTCTTTTTGAGCAATGAACTGGGAACACTCTTTAACACCGCCTGGCTAAATCAGTTGAGGTGTCTTGAGCACAAAAACGAACGCTCCCAATGTAACGCGGGAAACGCTACTGTGTTGTTTCTCCAGAGAAAAAGAGCCGCCACGCTAATCAACATATGTAGGGATATTATCATCACCAGGTCCAACAAATGACATGATCCGACAGGCTTTGGCTCTGATCTGAGGAAGTTAATGGTAGACAGGACCGCCGACTGTGTTTTGTTTCCGAACCGTTTGAACCCGGAGCAGCCGTTAATTATATGTCGGTCCCCGCGCTGCTACTTAACGTCTTTCTGTGTAGCCACCGAGCAGTTGTTAGCTCCGACACAAAGAGGGAGTCCTGCTAACGAGCAAAACAACAAAGAGAACATCCTCCACTCTTGACCGGTAACATGGATACGTTTCAGAAGGTGGAGAAGATAGGAGAAGGGACGTATGGGGTGGTTTACAAAGCCAAGAACAAAGTCACCGGAGAAACTGTTGCTCTGAAGAAAATCCGCCTCGACACGTAAGTGAACTGTGCTGTTTGTTATCATCTGCAGGAGCTAACGTCACTGTAGCTAACGCTACTTTTACTTAAACTGTGATGGAAATGTTTTACTCAAATTCAAAATGGCTTTTAGGCATGACCGTATAAACAGTCCTGTCATTTATTCAAGGGTGTCATCATCAGGTTGTGATAGTCAGAGTAAAGTTGCAGAGCTTTTTTTTAATGGACAAAGATGTTATTCAAGCTAAACAATAGTAGGACAAAGAGGACTTGCAAGATGTGTAATAACAGTTCATTAGTTCAGGCCCTACTCATATCATTCCCTGCACATAAAAGCAGACTTCAGTAGGTAGGATTATTCATTGACTCCCTCTTTTTGGTTTTCTGACATTTGTGACAGACTTCAGTAAGCACAAGCTGTGCTTATCTTTTTCTTTTGTTAGCTGTCAGTGATAATACACTGATCTATTTAAAGTAATGTGTGCTGTGCCAGTATTCGCACCTGCTGATTTTAACTCTGCTATTCCTAACCAATGACGTCCAAGTTATTTATAGAAAAAATATATAAGCTATAATATAATTAATTTAAATCACTCTAAAATAAACAAACGTACCATGAAAAACAGAGCTGAAATAAATAACTGAAGTTAAAATGGCAACATTATCATAACCTGGGATAAGTGATTGAGCTTCAGTAACAAAACCTGTTAATTTCTTTCTTTCAGGGAAACAGAGGGTGTACCAAGCACTGCCATCCGAGAGATTTCACTTCTCAAAGAACTCAGTCACCCAAATATTGTCAAGTAAGTCCCTTATGTTACAGCTTTAAGCTAAATCTCAAGATTCTCCTGTTACTTGTTTCCGTCAGTTTTAAGCCAACCTGTGGGTTGACACGTTTCAGGTTGCGAGATGTGATCCACACCGAGAACAAGCTCTACCTTGTGTTTGAGTTCCTTCATCAGGATCTAAAGAAGTTCATGGACTCCTTCGCAGTCGCTGGTATCCCACTGCCTCTGGTTAAGGTACATTTCCGCTACCTTTGCAAAGCAGATCTGCCTCAATCTCAACAAGAAATCAAAAGTAATTTGACTAACCTGGGCGTTAATATATATTTTTGTGTGCATTTTTAGAGTTATCTTTTCCAGCTGCTGCAAGGCCTGGCCTTCTGCCACTCTCACAGGGTTCTTCATCGAGACCTGAAGCCCCAGAATCTCCTCATCAACGCCCAGGGGGAGATCAAGCTCGCTGACTTTGGTCTGGCAAGAGCCTTTGGGGTTCCCGTCCGCACTTACACACACGAGGTAACATCCTCGTCCGCCCTGTTCATGCATCAACCTTCCAGTTATATGGTTTAAAATGTATTTTCAAAACTAGAGATGCACGGATTGCAATTTTCTTGGCAGATCTTCTTTCTCTCTATGGACCATGATTTACCACATCAAATTATATTTTTGTCAGAGATGTCGGAGAAGATTTTATGGAATTTGTATTCCATAGGCTAATGTATATGTAGGCCGTTTTTAGGACGACAACTATTTGTACACTATGTATTTATTTTTCTTCTTATTTATATAAAACTATTTATGGATCAGTATATATTTATAAGGTGTGTTTATTATTCAATTATATTTGTGTAATCTGCATTTTATACAACTTATTGTCTGGTAACCAGTCACAGTTGATCGATCAGTCCATTTCTATTATTGCCATACCCAGCAGAAAAGTGCTCTTGATCATGTATTTAGGTTAAGAAGAAATCCTGTTTTCCTAAATACAAACTTGCTTCCTTGATATTTTTCAGGTGGTAACACTTTGGTACAGAGCTCCAGAAATCCTCCTGGGCTGTAAATACTACTCCACAGCTGTCGACATCTGGAGTCTGGGCTGCATCTTTGCTGAAATGGTAATATGAATGCATGAAGCCTGCACACGACCCATAATGGATTATATGCAGTGTGCGAAAAAGCACACGTCCCACCGTCCGGGACGTGTTATTTACAATATCGGACAAGTAGATCTTTAAATTGACTTGTCCGATGGACAAGTGACGTTTTTCGCCCTTATTTATTGACAAATTATTGATAAATTCAGCTTACAAAAGGCAGAACTAATTCGTAAATTATCTGTGTCCGCCATTGTTGTGGTTTTGCTTGTCGATTCCTAAGGAAATGCATCTCGCCGCTTTCTGTACTGTTAGACGGGGCCGGGGCGGGACGTGTAGCACATTGGCAGGCTTGGGAAGCAAAACTCGGTTCCGAGTAAGAACAAATAAGTTAATAACAATTGTCCGGTACCGGGATTAATAAGAGTTGTGAGGACAGGAGGCGGAGGCCGAGCCCCGCGGACCGCAGCTCTCTCTCCCCCTATGCTCCGTATCGTGTTGCCGTATCAGCTGATTCGCTGCCCGTTTAACAGCCTCATATTTGTTCAAGGTTCTTTATTGTCAAACTAACATAGCTACAGAGTAATTATGTCGTTGAAAATCTTATGTCACTGGCTTCTCCAACAATGCAACATAATAATACAGATAGTAAAAGTAATACAAAAAGAAAAAATAGTTCTAAAATAAAGTGAGTATGTGGAATAGTGCAGTACGAGTCTATATACAAGTTATTGGAATGATATATATTAGATAGTAGATATATATGTCAAACTTCCTTATGTTCTTTCTCTAACACGTAATGAAGGTTATTAAGCGTTTTAGCTCCTATATTGTTAATATTGACCGCCATTTCCTTTATGAATTAAATCAGCCTCCCTGTCTGTGTCCTCGCGCTGTCCTCACATCCCCGGACCCCCAGACTCGGAGGAGCACAGGGATGTCAGTATTGTTTATGAAGCAGGGTATAGAAAGTACATTATTGAAATGAAAATACTATTTATTTACTTTTACAAACAGTGAGCAGCTGGGCAGCTGCAGCATGTTTATTGCAGGACATGTGTTGGACACACAGACTGTGTGGTTGGACTCTGTCTCACAGGCAGGTTGCAGTGTAACATCAGAGGAGACTGGGCCAATTGTACATTCTCAAACTGCACCACTTAGAACTAACTAAACAATTATTTTTATATAATTGTATTCAATAACCGTAACAAAATTAAACAGTATGAAGTGATTTTTAAATAGGAATACAGATTTGACTTAATGTTTTCATAAATATATTTTTCTCCCAGTTTGTCATGGGACTTATTTTTACCCTCTCAACGAACCAGAATCGAGAATCGAAAAGCATAACCGGAATCGTTCAAATCCAAACGATACCCATCCCTATGTGTGATGCAGTAAAATCTTACCGTAAAAACCGTGGGAAAATGTAAAATACGATGCAGATCGATTTTTCTGGACAAGTGAAAAATGTATTCGGACAAGTAAATTGCCAAACTCACTTGTCCATGGACAAGTACTCTCTAAAAACTTTTTCTTACACTGATATGTAACATCCAACTAACAGGCTCGCCTCACTTTCCTCTGCTGTGCAGCTCACCAAGAGGGCCTTGTTCCCCGGAGACTCAGAGATCGATCAGTTATTCAGAATCTTCCGCACCCTGGGCACGCCTGATGAGACCGTCTGGCCTGGAGTCACATCCATGCCCGACTACAAACCCTCCTTCCCCAAGTGGGCCCGGCAGGATTTAGCCAAAGTGGTGCCGATTCTTGATGAAGATGGAAGAGAACTGCTCGGAGTGAGACCATTTCTCTTTCATTCATATATTCATTTAGCCCGGATTACATCTGTAAAGGAAGTTGGTTTTGTGTATTTGTTTGTGAAGTCTGCAAGATCATAACATGACGATATGCTAAAACATTGCATACATCTAAATGTAGCGAAGTCAGTTACTCAAAATAGTTCGTCCCTCTTACACTCAAGCATACTAGTATATGACACCCTTATAGTGAATCTGCTAAAATCGGCTGATTAATTGATTCAATGTGATTTGTTTAAAATATCTTGTTTTGTTAAATCAAAAACCCACATATTTTTAGTATAAAACAAAACTGTGAAAAGCAAGGTATCTCCATCTTTATGAGCCTAAAAACTGCATTTTCTGAAATCTTTGCCTGAAAAATGTGTACAAAAAAATGAATAGATTATCAAAATAGTTGGTGGTTATTTTACTGATGAGTCATTGTTGCAGCTCTAGACTAAAATGAAAAATCCCGTTATAGAGGTTAATAAAACCATCAATTAACAAATCATTAGTCGTCGCCTGCTTCATAGGCACAGTGTTTGACTGTATTTCTCTTTTTGTTCTTGCAGGAAATGCTGAATTACGATCCAAACAAAAGGATATCTGCCAAAAACGCCCTCGTACATCGATACTTCCGCGACGTCACCATGCCAATTCCTCATCTGAGACTCTGAGCAGGATAGGAGTTTGTTTTAATGCCAACAATGTCTGAGCAATAAGGACCTCCTCGCCTCATCTCCACGACTGGAATGGACATAAAGCGGACACTACGGGACACGTTGGATCCTGTAATGGATGTTTGGTCACACTTAAAACCAGCTTTCTAAGACGGTTGACCTCCCGAGATTTTCGCTGTGTTTTCAGCCATGATGTTATAATAGTTACAAACATTTAACTGTAATTTTCAATATAATTATTCTGCATATTTTTGTGCAACTGCCATTTTTTATGTTAATGTTATTTGTGATTGGGATAGTCCTCTGAGTGACTGCAGGTAGACTGATTCTCGTAAACTGCCATTACATTTCCCATTTTTAGGATGTCAAAAGTGATATAGTCTAGTAGTTAGAGTTAAATATTATTGATAACGTTTGTGGGATAGTGCAAAAAACAAACGTCATGCTCTTTGAGATTGAGCAGCAGCTGAATGAAAGATGTGAGTGACGGTTGCATCTTCTTTTGATCTAAAACCGTTGGTGCTGAAACAACACAATCTTAAAAGGTTGATTTTCTTGCAGTTCAATTCTTTAAAGTTCGGTCTGAAGTATCTTGAAGTGATTTTATAACCGCACCTTTGGTTGTTTAACACACACAAATGTTTGTTGGGCGTTTGCTGGCAGGATTACAAACTGAAGTTCTCAGCGTAGTACATACAGTTGTCCCTGTTTAAACACAATTTAATGTGCCGTCAAATCTTTCATACTCTAGATTTTATTCAAACGTAATGAATCGTTTTTTATGGATATTGTTTATAGTTTGAAAAATAAACTTGTTTAAACAGCTGATACCCTTTGTCCGTGTCGAGGGTAATTTTAGTCTGAAAGTCGACAGAGTACGTCACAGTTTGAGTTTAAGTGAACAATGTTTTCTTGAGTTCTAGAGCCAAGTGAAACCATTATGGCTAAATGGTTTGAGGGACTCAAATACCATGGTTGTTCTGCAGGTCAAATATGTAATAAGAAATGGCTTTGTTAACCTGTATAGTCATTTAGATATGGTTTATACACGATTTGTTCAAAACGTGAAATGGCAATGCCAATCAACTAACTGAATTATGCGACATCATTCACAAACGTTTAAGGTTAGTAGAACTAGGAAAGGACAACATGGGAAATGTTTTGTCTTCAGATTAGAACTCATCCACAAACATTGGTGTGTGGGAGAGAAACTCCCTTTGGGATTTTAGCCTTTACAGACCATTTACATAACACAAAAGCCTATATAACTCACTACAGGAAAGGGAAGCCCCAAAAGTCAAAATAGGGCCCCATTAAACATAACATTTGGGTTTCATATTTATCATACTCTGCAAACTTGTTATGTACAGTATTTAGATTCGATTATATTCAACTTTATTGTCATTGCACCGAGTATAAGTACTAAGACAACGAAACGCACTAAGCATCTCACCAGAAGTACAAAACAGTCAAGTGCAGAGTGATGTCAATGAAATACGACTAATCAACAAACTGACAAATATTTTATTTGTAGTGTTTATAAGCCACAATAGTCAATGCAGGTCACCTTCAAACCTTTTTTTCAAATTAAGAAAAGATGTTCAGTAGAGAAAGTTACCTTGGAAAATCTGATTAATTAGTTGCTGTAGGCCACAGTGTGTTTTCTCATGTGACCACTGAGGGGCCCCAAAGTCTAAAAGGTTTACATCTCACTCACAGTCGCTTTTTCTGCTTCGATTTGCACACAGAATATGACAGACTCACTATGTTAATTGGTGTAGTTGCAATTTATTTTCACAATGACCAATAGTAAAGAGGAAATAGGAATAGATGATAATGGGGAAATATCATATTGTAAGCAAACCTTTTAAAATAGATATGTTATAAATTAATAAACAATTGCATTACATGAGAGGCACAATTCAAATAGTGGTGCTCTTTATCAATTTTGTTGTTTTATTTAGTAAAAAAGCATGTGCTCCACTAATTCAAAAACAGAAATATAACAGCACTAGCCAGCTAGCTGTTTCTTTCACGTATCATAATGTGTTTTATTCATTGTATCTCTGAGGATGTCTGCCATGGCAACAACATTGTTGCACTATACGTGACAACACCATAGATATTGACTTTGATAGTTATTTACTTTTTTAAACAAGCTTGACCCTAAAAATGTAAAGGCTGATGAACTAAAAAGCTGCAAAATGAAATTTGATGAATAACTAAATGTTACATTTTACCACTACATTCTGAGCTAAGCATTGCCTGTTATACACATTTTAGTAAGTGCAGTAAGTTAACGGTCCAGTCGACAAAGATAAGATTCAGGAAACAGATATGCAGTGCAGTCTGATAGGAAGTCAGATAAACAGATCACATGATAGCTTTCAGATGTGGAAATATGACAACAATTCTCATCAGATTTTATAAAAGTAAGTTTGGTTTTGGAGAGTCAGACTCTAAGCCCAAAGTGATGCATGTTTAGCCGGATTATTTCAAATCATGAATACTTCAATTATGAACATTTTGTCTATGATGAAGTGTTGCAACTTTGTCGTTGTCAGTGTGCATTATTAAAGAAAACAAAAGTTTAATACAATTTTTGAGACTATTTAATAATAATAATAATAATAATTAATAACATTTACTTATTACTTTTGAAGAGTCTGGAATTAAACTGTTATAAAACTGTATGTCACATTGACAAAACTGAAAGCAATATATTACCAGATTGCCTTGTATTTGGTAATTAATTGGTCCAGTTGCACTTCATCATTTTATCCTATTAGACATTTGTCATGATTAGCATATAACTTGAGTTTGTGAGGTCGCAGTGACTCTTGGCAACCCAAATGGAAATCGGTTCATCATTGAGAAAGTTGACGTATGTGCCAATTTGGAAGAAATCCCCTCATGGCGTTTTTGAGATTCGCATTTACCAGAATAGGAACCCAAAAGGAATGAAATCCAATACATCATGGTCATTGGATGACACAGCTAAGTTAATTTCAAGACTGATTATTACCGCTTTGAAAGCAGTCACACCTTCTAAAGTTGTGCCACATTATGCATAAGCATTGTCAGCAGTAATATGAAGTACACATGATTTGTAGTTAAGGACCTATACATTGTTTTGGTGTGTTTGTGGAAGATTTGGGAGGATGGTTTAAAATATTATTTAGCTCAGATTTCTAGTTTCTTTTTCATGACAAGCTTGTAGAGGATCTGGTAGCCGTCGTCCCAGGCGTAGAGCAGCTGCTCCTGTGGGTTGTATTTCAGACTGGAGTGAGCTCCGTAACGCTTTGGAAAGTAAACCAGTGATGCTTCTTCGTTGGTCACCATGTCATTGACGTCGAACACACACTGGATTTGTGAGCGCCCGGGCTGCTTGGTGTTGTAGACCACATACAGAGTGCCACAGATGATGAAAGCCGCCTCTGCATTCTCCCTCGGACAGTTTGAGTCCCACATTTGCTCAATGTCCAGCGTGTTGGCGTCCATTTTGGCCATAGAGATGTACCTCTCATTCTGCCGCGTGGCGTAAATGGCCCACAGGCCTTCCTCGTCCACAGCCAGGTCCATCACTGTCTCTGGGGTCAGGCCGTACACAGGGAGATGGTCCTGCACTGGGAACACAGCGCTGTCCGTCACTGAGCTGTTCTTCATGTCATATTTAACCACCATCATCTCTTCTACCTGGTTTATATAGTACGCGTAATTGTTGAATACAACGTGTCCTGTTCCCTTCCAGGCAGACGGCAGCTTCAGGTTCTTGGCCAGAGACATGCCCTGCGAGCGAGCAAAGTCCTGAACGGAGGCAAACTCATGGATGGTGTCTTCGTCTGTCCCGTTAAAAATGTAGACCTTCCCAGAGCCCCGGCCTGTGTCTTTGGTCCACATGCCCTTTGGCCCACCAACTCGCTTCAAGATCTTCATGGCTTTTATGCTGGAGATCATGTCACTGCAGTCTGAAAAGGAGAGGGCAGCAGGCTTTATTTGACAAGTGACAACTGGCACGCATGCTGACATGGTTTACATTGTATTAGCAGTTAAAGATCTCATGACTGCTTTTAAAGAATAATGTTTAGGTCAATAAACTTACCGGTATGAGCACTAAAGTAGCTAAAGGGCTTAAAAGTTGAAAAAGTCACCAATAGAACATGCTGAACAGGAAGTTGCCAAGAAAAGTCCAGCATTTAAAACCATACCCTGTGATTTCTAGTGTTCAGTTTCTGTGACACAAAAATAGATCCCAAGTCGCAGCATTTAGGCCTGTATTCCTATCCCAGGAACTTTACTTAAAGTTTGACTTCACTCTTGAATTACAAAATGGAGAAAATGTTGTCTTCTTTCATTTGTCTCCTCTTACGCCTAGGCCTAATATTCTTCTGTAATCATAATTACTGTTTTGATTATCTGCAAAGTGACACATTTATATATTCAGAAACTTGAGAATATGCTTGCTTTTCTCCATTTCAGGTTATTGTAAATGTAGCCCTTGTTCCATGTTCATCCCCATTAAAACTCAACGTTTGCTCTGATTAACAGAACACACTTCACATCTCATCTCACCTGATAGTTTTGAGTACTTAGCCTTCTGCTTCTCCTTCACCAGCATCACCTGCTGCTCTATCAGCTTGTCGTCGACGTCCACACACGGCTGAGCCCCGTTCTGTGTCTCCAGGTAGTCCAGCTCCCGCTCCACCCGGTCCACCCTTGTCCCCACGCCGTCCAGAGTCACCCTCAGAAACTCTTTCTCTTTATCCAGGCTCTCCAGCTGGGACACCATCTGTTGCTTCAGCTCCCTCAGCTCCGAGGCGTAGCGGGCGGTCTGCTCATGCCACAAAGAGATCCGGTCCTGTTTTCAAACAAGGTGACAGATCATTTGTTATTATTTTTATTGTACAAGCTGTCTCACTTGTTTTTATCTAACCTGGTTGTCAGTAGTAATGTGAGCCATACACAATCGTCATTTCACAGGAACTGTAAATGCATCAAGGCCATCATTTAATGTTTTTTCCAGTCTAAATAAATAGACTGAAGTTGAAGGGCATAATAAGTAGGAAGCTCATCCTTCAAACAACCAGGTTCCGACCACACGTGGCACGTTTCCTCCCTGCTCAAAGGCCTTTTTAGCAAAACACTGACTCATATACCAGCTCTCTCCTCAGCAGACCCTGACCTCTGACCTGGAAAAGGAAATGAGATTTTCTCCACAGGTCTCAACAGTGAAAACAGAAATTCTGGCATGTGTTGTTGTATAATAACAAATAATCACTGTTTTAAAACATCATCATGATACTTCATTTTGCCAATACACATTTTAGGAACCAAAAAGCGTTTCCATAATGTGACATTAGGAAAAATGCAATGCAAATATGTACTCTTCTAAGTTGTAAACTACATGTTTATCTCCGTCTGTGAACACAGACAAGGAGCTCACAGAGCTGTATTTTCCAGCCTTTTTTGGATTTGCCCACATCTGCGTTTCATTGCCAATGCCCTGTCCCTGGCAGTTTCCCCTCAGAGGGACTCTGGCGCGCAGGGCTCGACAGGAAGGTACAAGGAGGTACAAGGAGGTAAAAGGAGGTAAAAGGAGGTAAAAGGAGGTAAAAGGAGGTAAAGGGAAGTAAAAGGATTCTTACCTCGATAGTCTGCAGCCTCCGCTCCAAGTAGTCAATCAGTGCTTGGTGCTGAGCGCTGGCAAAGCACGCCAAAGTTACCAAGACAACAAGTACTCTCATTTTGTGTCAGCCCGGTGTCCTCAGCTCCTGGAGAAGTTTTGACTGGAGCGGAGAGAGAGAGAGTGGAGGAGCCAGCAGATTCCCAGAGGTGGGCTGGAATGTTTTAGAAGCTGTCTGGGAGGAGCCAGAAACATCTGGGGAAGATGGAGGAACACAGACCCTCAGTGAGACAAGACACTGCTTTCAATTTTCACTTGACCTTTTACCTGATTGACCAACAAATATACAAATTCTGCTCCCAGCGCTCCAGGCTTCCCATCCCTCCCTTTGTTTCTTCTTTTCCCTCATGCATACACAAAAGGAAATACTGCATAACTGCACAAACCTTTTTTTTTTTAAGTGCTTGTGATAGTTTCAGATAAATACATTGTTTCTTTGCTGCAGGGCCAAGTGTTGCCTTCTGTTATTTGTAATGGTTTTGAGCCGGCCATGAAATGTTTAAAGGTATATATGGCTCTGGGGGAAGGCTGTTTTTTCCATAAAACACAGGACATCAACGTTACGTAGGAGGAGGAGGCGTAATGTGAGTGGAGGCAGGAGTCATAGAGGCACTGTGTTATGAGGAAGACTATTGACTGTCTCCATTAAACTCTCTAGCAGCACAATGAAAGATTTTGTATAACACAATATGAACTATACTAATCAATGCATTTATTTTTACATAAAACATTGGTGCAGGTAGATCTTGTGTCTTATCTTGTTTAAGTTTGCTGCAGGCATTGCTTTTGGTCCTTTATTCATGCTCTCATTATGTAAATTGTGGTAAATTGACTTTGCAAATCAAAACAGTATTATTTTTATTCTTAACAAAATATGATGCAATAGTTTTGCATTTTCACATTTTCAGCATCCCTGCAGGATGTCTTTCAGCTCCTGCTCGCTCCTTTCAGCACACAGCCCATTGGCACTATTTCTAAAGCATGGTGGTTTGTACTGTATCACTGATGCAATCAGAGCGGGAACTGTGACTCATACCATCTGCTCTGCCCTGTTCATTTCACCTCTCCAAAAACACACTCCTCTAGATGAAGAAATATATAAAAGCTTTAAGAAGTTAGAACTTCTTAATTCCTGAGACATAATTTTTCATGACAAACGTAGGAAAACATCTCGTAGCTTGAAAATAAAAAAAAATTAAGCAAAATAATTAAACAAAATGCCTCTTGAGGGCATGAAGTGACAAAAACTTTCAACATGTCTCCATTAAACCCCATTGTAAGTTCAGCCTCATCTTTCCCCACCACAGCAGCCGCACACCTTTAGTTAATCTGCCAAAAAGGCCACATTATTAACCCGAAAGTACACAAAAAGTACACTTCAGATGCTCAAGTTCCTTGACATGCTTCACGCTTTGAAATTTTCACCGATATCTGTTACGGTTCTTCAACAAAACGTTCACATGTAAGAGGTTTATCTCTCATTCAGAACAATGAAAATGCTCTCCTCTCACTGATTACTGCACATCACCATGGAAACCTTTGATCTCTGGACACGTCGTTAGCTCAAATATAAACACCTGTGTCATGGAACACGATGATGTCATAACTCCAACTGACATGCTCAGAGCAGCAGATTTCAGATAATGGTTAACACAGCTCTACATCAAATCTGATGTTACGTAGTGTGGTGTTACTATGGCAACGCATCCCTCGCCATAAAACAGAAGCAGACTTCAGATAATGGTTAATGGTCCTGCCCTCAACAGCTCTACATCAATTATGGGGTGCCTTCATATGCGGTTTCCATGGAAACGCATCTCTCGCCATAAAACACGATGTCGCTGTAACTCCAATGGACACGGTCCGATCGTCCCCAAACTTCGCTTGTATATCACCGGTCCATGCCTCAACAGCTTTACGCCAAATCTGAGATCTCACCATAGGCTGTTGCCATGGAAACGCATCCCTCGCCATAAAACACGATGTCGCTGTAGCTCCAATGGACACGGTCCGGTCGTCCCACAATCTTCACCTGTATATCACCTCTCCATGCCTCAACAGCTCTACGTCAAATCTGACATCTCACCATATGCCGTTTCCATGGAAACGCATCCCTCGCCATAAAACACGATGTTGTCGTAACGCCTATGAAAAGGGTCAAAACAGCACCAGACTTCAGATAATGGTTAACAGTCCAGCCCTCAACAGCTCTACGTCAATTATGGGGTGTTATCATATGCCGTTTCCATGGAAACGCATCCCTTGCCATAAAAGACGATGTCGCTATAACTCCTATGAAAATGTTCAAAAAGTGCTCAAACTTCACAGGTTTGGTAACGATGCAGCCATCAACGCATCTAAGCGTATTATGGGATGTCATCAAATGCCGTTGGCATGGGGACAGATCATTCGCCATCAAGTTAGTTCAAAAGTTTGCAGTTCAAATATTCTGCTGCTTTTCCAAGTCTTTTTACTTTCTTTTCTTCTCTCATCACACATTCAAGCCCCCAGTGTTCATGTATCATTTCAATCTAAATTCTTCACTTTCTTCTTACACATTACATTTCAGCATAGCAGTTTAGCGTCAGCTTTTCAGCATAAAGCATTCCCACAAGCAATTTCTTCAGGAATTGCATTCTCTAGTTCTGTTAGATGCTGCTACAACCAGACCAGTCCATTGTATTTGCCATCTTTTACAATATGGTAATTCTTTCTCGTGGTAGTGCATGGCACCTTTATGACTTCTTTACCCCACGCTGTACCGTCATTGAATAAGGTTTGTTTGTACAAGGATTTGATTATTTGATTATACAAATAATACTTTACTTTTTATCATTCATTTAGGTTTCATTACATTAACAGGTGGTTATGAAACAGTGTGTTTGTGTGTATGTGTGTGTGTGTGTGTGTGTGTGTGTGTGTGTGTGTGTGTGTGTGTGTGTGTGTGTGTGTGTGTGTGTGTGTGTGTGTGTTTGAGTGTGTGTGTGGGTGTTATTCATGTGCTGTGTATGAAAATGATTCTGAGGAGTGACTGTGTGTTTAAGGATAACAAAACAAACACGTTGAAATTGTCTTGTGTGCTGACATGCACACTATGAAGTAACTTACATAGTATTAGTTACTTATTGCATTATTTATACATAAGTAAAAATATATTTTCCTCATTCCTTTTCTCTGTCAAAGCCTGCCGCCTAAATAACCCACGATGCAGCTTGACCTCTTCTACACTCACTTCTGTCTAACTCCACAACCCCAGATTGTTTTATTTTTCAAAGATGTACTCTTCAGACCTTCAGACTTTGGGCTGACCATTGTTTAGTCTACAGTAGTAGTCTTGTACTTACTTGAGTATTTCAATGTTTTGCTACTTTGTACTTCTACCCCACTATAATTCAGAGTTAAATGGTGTACTTTTATTCCACTACATTTATGCAGCTTTAGTTACTTTGCAGATTTGGATTAATGATGTGAAATATAATCAACTATTGAATCAGACTTTAGTTACACCTGGAGTACATTCACAAGCTACCCTGCAGTATTCAAAGTCAAAAACTAGCTACACCTTTACCAGCTCTGATAACCCTACATATAATATGTATTATTCTGAAATGGACTAATTTGCAGAATGAGTACTTTTACTTTTGATACTTTAAGTCTATTTTGATGCTAATACTTTTCTGTTACTTGAGTAACCTTTTGATTGCAGGACTTTTACTTGTAACAAGAGTATTCCTGCACTCTAGTACTTCTACTTTTACTCAAGTACCAGATCCGAGTACTTCTCCGATCTCTGCTTTTACAGTATATGTCGCCATAGAAACCCATCTCACTGTATATAAACCATTCTTCTCAAAGCCCATTAACACTAATGTATTATTTAAAAACATTATTTCGACTCATAGCTGTGCATTAGTTCATACCGTGGTGGTACAGGGCCGAGTGGGTTGTAAAATATACAGACAAGATGGCGGGGGTCAGAGTGACAGTGTGTGTTTGTGCATTTGAATATGAGTCAATCCTTTTTCTTTCAGAACATTTGCCTACAGGATTGTGTTCCTTCCTTAGTGATTGGATAGAATACCGTGTGAGGTCCTGAAAGATGCAAAACACAGGCAAATGATTTAAAAGCAAAGAGGGGAGGAGGATTGAGGGCTTTTGTTATCAGATAGAAGATCAGCTGTTGGCACACCATACACGCGACAAGGGAAGTCATCAAACAAGAATACCAGGTATGTTTGATTATATATAAACTATAAGATTTAAACATGATGGCTTGATATTAGTTTGATCGAAATCTAGAGAAAATAGTTTAAAATATTGTTAACATTTGTGTTCTCAAGGAAATTGCATTTAATGTTCTTAAAGCAATGCTATAATCTGGTGCAAAGCATTTTATCTCTTTGAGATGTATGTTCATGGTTCATGTACATGGTCCCTGACAACTAAACAAATACACTAAACTAAGGACCAAAACATTTATGTTTTCATAACCATTTCCTCTTCCAATTTCAGAAAACAAAGCATCAAAAGTCTACATTGTCACTCGAGTGCATCCGAGCAACATGGAGTACACATTCAGGGCAGTAACTCGCAGCGCGGGGATTATAATCTGGAGAATTGAGGTAATTTGATTTTATGGTAAATGGTTCAGTATAGTGACTTTAGTCTAACTTTTTTATCAGCAGTCAGGTTTCAAGGTAAAAAAAAGTCTGCTTCTCCGGGAGGAAATTACTAAAACAGCAGTGATGATGTGTAGAAAGTTTGCTGGTAGCTTTAGACCTGAAATGTTCCTCTCTCTCACTGTGTGTGTGTGTTGTGTGTGTGTGTGTGTGTGTGTGTGTGTGTGTGTGTGTGTGTGTGTGTGTGTGTGTGTGTGTGTGTGTGTGTGTGTGTGTGTGTGTGTGTGTGTGTGTGTGTGTGTGTGTGTGTGTGTGTGTGTGTGTGTGTGTGTGTGTGTGTGTGTGTGTGTGTGTGTGTGTGTGTGTGTGTGCGTGCGCAGAACATGGAGCTGGTACAAATCCCAGAGAAATCGTATGGAAACTTTTACGAGGGTGACTGCTACATACTTCTGTCTGTAAGTCTGAGAAGGTGTGGTTTTAGAAGATATGGCTGCTTGTTTGTTTAGTAAAGACTGCTGTTGTAATTGCAGACTTTTTACAGGAAGTAGAGACAGATGTGCTTTTAATTAACCACTTTGAAATAGAGTTACTCAATACAAATTACAATAATTGCAATTAACACGGTAAACCATTAGTATATTCTTATTTATTTAGTCTGAATAACTTTGCATTACTTTAAAATAAGGATGCAGTCATAATATGGGGTGCGGTTTCGTAACAAACAAAAAAGGTTAATTTTTCTGTGTAATGATACTACTAAAATGTAGAATAAATCATAATTAGAAAACAACATTTTAATTGTAAGCTGGGCTGATTATAGATACTCATTTTTGGCAATGTGATCATATATATATCCTGCTTAAATGTATTCTGTTACTAGCCCTGATCATCAGATAACGTCCTGGTCCACACACTGCTCTCTCCCCACAGACTCAGAAGGTAGGCAGCTCTCTCGCTTATGACGTCCATTACTGGATCGGCTCTCAGTCCTCTCAGGATGAACAGGGTGCAGCTGCTATTTACACCGTCCAGCTCGACGAGTTCCTGGGCTCCACTCCGGTCCAGCACCGCGAGGTTCAGAGCCACGAGTCTGATGCCTTCAAGGGCTACTTCAAACAAGGAGTAATGTAAGTCAGACTGCCAGGACAGGAGGCCAATGTTAAAAATAGAGTGAAATAAATCTCTTCTTCTCTCTTGTCTAGCTATAAGAAAGGTGGAGTTGCATCAGGAATGAGGCACACTGAAACCAACAGCTACGATGTGAAGAGGCTGCTTCATGTCAAAGGGAGGAAAAGAGTGATTGCAAGAGAGGTGGGCAGTTTCCTTGCAGGGTTGTACATGTAATAGCCTTAAGAATGTGTTGTTCAAATAAACTCATGTGACAGACATTATGCATACATTTGTCATGAAAAATGATGCAAAGACTAATTCAATGCTGATGTATTGCTCTATGTTTTTATTTGTTTCAGGTGGAGATGAGCTGGACGAGCTTCAACCTTGGAGATGTGTTTTTGTTGGACATTGGGAAGACCATTGTTCAGTGGAACGGACCCAAGTGTAACAAACAGGAAAAGCTTAAAGTAAGATTTGTTTTTGGGTTCCTGTGTCCACTCTTTGGCGCGGATCCATATCGAAACACAGAAAGATACTGGAGCAGAAAATACACTAAAAGCATTCACTCAATATTTGTACTCTTAAATAAGATAAGATAAAAAGGTATTGTCCTTTCACATGAAAAGGTGTCTTGCATTAACAATTAACCAAATAACATCAAGAAACCTCCAGCAACTATCATTAAGAGATGACGATATGCCTTAAACATGACAGAAATGCAGCTTATAAGTGAACACATTGGCAGCTATATTTTCCTAAGTACAGGAACAGAGTTGGAATTACGTAGGAAACCATTACTTACTCTTTGAGGTTTTCATTGCATCATATTTCTGGATATATATGATAAACATTTGTAGCACAGATGCTGAAACAAGTCTTTTTCCATGCTGGACTCTTCAGATCTAAATACCATCATTAGACCAGTATGGAAAGCTCTGGGAGGGTGACGTCAAAGCTAATTTCCTACTTCCTGTTAACAGGCCTGAGGCTCTGAATCATGCATTCACTTCAAAACTTTTTAACAGCAAAGCAGTGTGGACTAAAACTTACAGCTCATTTATATTCATATTCTAGGTGTTGACATCATTTTGTCAACACCTCACACTTTTTTTGTAAATGTAGCCATTAGTTTTTGTGCAAATAGTATTAGATAGACTTAACAGCTAGTGTGACATATACAGGTGGTGATTTAAAATACTACAACATGTAAGAACAGACACGAACTAGAATATTAACAAAATGTGGCAAAACTAAAAACAAAAAAGAAGTAAAATAAATACATTGTTTTAACCAGTTGGTGTTTCTTAGACTGTGAACATAAATGAATAATAATAAATATATATTGTAATATGAGTAATGTTTTTATATGAAGCCAATATTTAGGTTACGTAGTTCTATAATTATAGTGGGATTTAAGAAAAAATGGTACATGTCCAAGAAAAGACGAACGAATAGAAAAGAACAATTCATATTTAATCATCTCAACATTCTGTATTAAATGTATTTTTAATGGAATCTCACAAGTAAGACAGAAAGTTGACTGATACAATTTTTAGTTTTGTTAGATGTATTTGGCTATCACAATGGTGTATTGAAAATCCGATATAAAGACAGTTTGAAGTCTGAGGTTTCTGCATTGTGTAATTTCTTTGAGTTGTGCTTCAGGGCATGTTGTTGGCCAAGGACATCCGGGACAGAGAGAGAGGAGGCCGGGCGGAGATCCGAGTGATCGAGGGGGACGCAGAGAGCAACTCCCCTCAGAACATGGAGGTCCTGGAGGGCGTTCTGGGCAAAAGAAGCTCCAAGCCGACGGACGGACCTCCAGATGAAACTGCTGACCAGGAACAGAAAGCAAAACTCACTCTTTACCAGTGAGCTGCTCCACCTCTGTGACATCCCGTGTTCCATTCATGCTTTTCATTTTCAGGTAGAGAGTTGTGTCCTTCTTCTTTTTATCTGTTTTCAACTTTTTTTAGGGTGTCAGATGATGATGGAAAGATGAAGGTCACAGAAGTTGCTTCTAGACCTCTGGTTCAGGATCTCCTCAGCCATGAGGTGAGTTTGTCATCAAATAAAGGATGCAAATGTTATATAATACGGCCACGTCCAGACGGGTGTCACTAGAGCAATAACAATTTGAATGGTTGTACAACAAGGGACAGAGGTTGTCAAAGTGGAAGGTGCCAGACTTTTTAGGAATTTAAAAACAATATTCCATCAGATATCAAATGAGGATGACTTATAGCCTAAATGTGTGGGATTTAACAGAGAGATCTAAGAAATAGTATTTTAGGAAGTATTTAAAACTAGAAAGTAAAAAACTAAACATATCATAGGATACACCTCTTTTATGTATTTGGTGTAGTCTAAACTTACAACAAGCAGCAATATTAGGGCTAAATTATCTCAATTCTCAGCTGCATTTCAATTAACCGAGATAATCATTATGTTATAGTCATTCAGGAATTGAGTTTAAATCAAAGCAAGTAAGTGCAAGTAAGTTAGTCTTAGGGGATCTACTGTGACATTTCACCAAGTCCTACACAGCTTAGGGATTTAAACTCTACTGTTTGGACACAAATGATTTTGTCATGAATATGTATTGAAACTATCTGTTTAGGACTGCTTCATCCTGGATCAAGGAGGAACAAAGATCTTCGTATGGAAGGGGAAGAAAGCAAACAAAGCTGAGAGGCAGGTTGCCATGTCCAGAGCTTTGGTGAGTGACGTCCACATAGATCCTTATCTTCTGTCTGGTTGCTCTTGTATACATTCAGTAATGTAGACACCTAGAATGCAGTATTACTACATAGCCCTGTAATCATTTCTGCTTGATTGTATTTCTTATTAAGTTGTGTGGCTGTTACAGGAGTTCATCAAAGCGAAAAACTACCCTGTGACAACAAATGTGGAGACGGTGAATGACGGGGCGGAGTCAGCTCTGTTTAAGCAGCTGTTCCAGAGGTGGACTGTGAAGGACCAGACTCAAGGTCTGGGAAAAGTGCATACAAGAGGGAAAGTGGGTATGTGTGTTCTTAAATTAACCCAAACACAAGCACAGACTAAAATAACCTATTGCTTTTGATAGATAAACATATCAACTCTAACGCTTTTTTGTTTTTTTGACCATACTTTGCTTTAGCTCACATCACACAGCAAAAGTTTGACGCCTCTCTGATGCACGCCATGCCAGAGGTCGCTGCACAGGAGCGCATGGTGGACAATGGCTCAGGTGAAGTGGAGGTATCTGTGGCACTTTAATCTTTTGCAAAAACGTATGATTGAATAATGTCAGCTTCATCAGTACAAGGTACGGATGCCCGGAGAGGCCAGTGAGGAAAACCTTTTTCTAAGTCTGATCTGAATTGTTGTCTGTGTTTATGATTATGTAAAAATACATAGCAATAACATTACTTCACTTCCTCAGACTCAATACATGAATTTGTGTTTGGTGCAATGAGAAATTATATTTCAACTGGAAGAAACAATGAATGCTTTTAGTATTGTTTAGGATATTGGATAGTGGTGTACTTCAGTCTCTCATGGCAAAAATAAGTATTACAACAGAAAACACTGATCCTGACTATTCCACAACAATGTTTGTTTCACAGCTTTGAACATTTATTTAACTTATTTACCCTAAACTGTTTTACAGATGAGAAACATTTCAAATGAAATATGTTCCTCAACGTTGATAGACTGATAGCCTTTGCTACAAAGTGTAAGCTTATGCTCGTGTTGAAACATTTGAACATTCACTTGAATTATTTACACCTGTGCTTTGGTTAATGCTGCATGTCAAAATGTGTTCTGTAAGAAAGCTGTAGCCTTGTAGGGCCTCACAACTGTAACATGTCCTCTGATGGACACCGTATTGAATATAAATTGAGTTTGACATATCTGAGCAAGACAAAATGAATGCTTTGTATTACTTAAGGTTTCTCCCTGTATGTAATAAACATGATCACATCATGGAGCAGCAGCACACCTACGGTCATCGAATGCATCTCTGTGGTATTAAACCTTTGTGATGTGTTCAGATGTGGAGAATTGAAGACCTGGAGCTTGTCTCCGTGGACCCTTCATGTCACGGATACTTTTATGGAGGAGACTGCTACCTGATCCTGTATACCTATCTGGTTAACAACAAGAAGAGTTACCTGCTCTATATGTGGCAGGTGAGAATTTGCTTTAACACCCAATGTCTTACACAATAAAAGTCGTTCCTGATCATACACTGACAATTTATCATTTCTTACAAAGTTCCATACAAGATGGCTGCCCATTGCTGCCCTTTGCTGTCCTTGCATTAAATGTTCCTTTTATTACTGTATGAAATCATGAAACTACTACTTATTGTTTCAGGGGCGTCATGCAACACAGGATGAAATTGCAGCCTCAGCATTTCAGGCAGTGATCTTGGATCAGAAGTACGGTGACGAGCCAGTCCAAGTCAGAATAACAATGGGAAAGGAACCAAGACACTTTATGGCGATGTTCAAGGGCAAAATGGTCATATATGAGGTACAACTGCATTTAAATGATATATTTATATATATATATATATAGTTTCTTATAACAATACAGAATAAAACTCTGTTTTGATGTTAGGGCGGCACATCTAGAGAAGGGGGCACTGACCCAGAGCCGCCCATCAGGTTGTTCCAGGTTCACGGTTCTGACCCGTCCAACACCAAAGCCATGGAGCTTCCTGCGCTGGCCAGCTCTCTCAACTCCAATGATGTGTTTCTACTAAAGAGCCAATCAGGAATCCACCTGTGGTGTGGAAAGGTAAGAAAAGAGGTGTTTAAAATCATATAACTGATCATTCACCGACATGCAGCAGCAGGGTGACCAAACATTCATGATGATACTTTTCATAACATATTTTGTTCACATTTGTGTATCAGTAGTTACATAAAGGTAAACATATAACTTGAATGGCACTTTGTGAGTGCACATCTCTGCTAAGGCCAAATACCCTATAGCAATGTTTAAATAATGAAATGAAATTATTTGTAGATCTGCTACAAAATTGAATATGTTCTTTAATGGCGGCTGCTAAACATTCCACCAAGTTTAAGGAAAATTGGGTTAGTAGTTTGTCTGTAATCCTGCCTTAAAACACATAACCCTTCCTGAAAACAAAACCACCTTGACAGAGGCAAAGATGCTAAGGCCAAAATGTTACAGTAAAAGTAAAAAATACATTATACGTCTGACGACAGTGTGCCTCCAACATTGTGCCAACAGTTTGAAGGAGGCCCTTGTGCACAAAGTCAGGTCTGGAACTATAATGCAGACTGTGAGACGGGCCTTATCGCCCAACTCATGCAATCATAAATCCCTGCAGCCAGGTTAAACAATTTGTTTTAAAAGTCTAAGAATAATGGAGAATGTGAGAGGGGCCTTATTGCCCAAAATCATGCTATTGTGGCTGAATGGCAGAAAATCCCTGTAGCCAGGTTAAACAATTTATCTGAAAGTCTTAATTTAATGAAGAATGCTAGCATAGCTGCAGGTTAATATCCATTGTTTTGAGTGATATCATCTAGAATCACATTTGGTTTTTAATAAAATGTGGATGTCCATATAATGTCAGCCATAAAGTGTATAGATCAAAGTAACCGAGAGTTTGTCACCAGGGATCCAGTGGAGACGAGAGAGCCATGGCTAAGGAGGTGAGCTCTGTGATTGGCCAGAAGTCAAGACAAGGCTCTGAGGAGATTGTGGCAGAGGGTCAGGAGCCCTTTGAATTCTGGGAGTTGCTTGGAGGGAAAGCTCCCTATGCTAATGACAAGAGGTGATGACGACACAAATACAGTACTGATATTTGTAAATGGACTCATGAAGACATTGGGTGAAAAGCTTATTTTCTATTATATGACTTATATAAATATATGACAATATGACTTATTGTAGATTACAGCAGAGCGTTTTAGACCAACAGCCGCGCCTGTTTGAATGCTCCAATAAGACGGGACGCTTCATCGTGACTGAAGTGACCCAGTTCACGCAGGACGACCTCAACGAGGACGATGTCATGCTGTTGGACACATGGGACCAGGTTTGAGGCGACACTGTTCATGGCGGGAAAACTGACTTCATTTAGTGCCAATGTACTTTAGGCATTAATCATGCAGCTTCCAGTACAAAGAGTTCCTCCCAAAGAAACATATATATATGATGTTTTCTAAGAAATGTCCTTACATTTTAGACAAAACCCTGTTAACGGTCAAAGTTATCTCCTTTGTTAAACGTCCTACGACGGAAAGACAAATAGCTCAACTAATTAATTAATGGTAGAAACTAAAGCCACTACCACATGATAACTAATCATAAGCAAGTTAATATAACATGTGAATAGGCTACAGCTGCTTTGTTTTCAAACATTTTGAAGGCCACTGTTAAGTATGCCTTACAATTTAGTCAACAGTTGTTTGTAACTTGAAATAGTATTCATAATTACACATTGTATTAATAGACACTAAAGTCCATGATATGGCTGTTGATCAATGAATCCCATCTTTGTTTATAACAGATACATGTGTGTTGTTGCTAGCAACAGGGTTAACAATACCTCTCACTGAGGTAAAAACTTGAGTCCTCTCCTTGCTCAGAGACATTTTCCATAACCACTCCTGAGTTAGGAGTCCGTGCTGCAACGTATGCCACCCCTAAGGTTGTTTTGTGCAATACTACTTAGGGAAATATAATATGTGCCTTTGCTCATCGTTGGTCTCAGGTGATTCTCTGGATCGGTAAAGAAGCCAATGAGGTGGAGCGTAAAGAAGCAGTGGTGACCAGCAGAGAGTATCTGCGCACACACCCCGGCGCCAGAGACCCAGACACCCCCATCGTCCAGATCAAGCAGGGCTTTGAGCCGCCCACCTTCACTGGGTGGTTCACAGCCTGGGACCCCTCCAAGTGGAGTGTGAGTGGTTCTGAACTGAAATGAAGCATCATAAATGTATGAGTTAAAAAAACATACACTTAACATCAAATATCTTTCTTTTAGGGAGGAAAGAGCTATGAGGAGTTGAAGAAGGAGTTGGGAGATGAAGTATCAGCTGTTAGTGTTGCATTGGTATGTACAATTTCTATCTACCACCATCTGAATGTATGACTGCAATTCATCTGCTAACCCTAACCCGAACCTTACTGTGAGTTTTAGGAGCAGAACTGTGTGGAAAGTGAAAAAAGCTTTCAGTGTTTTCCACCTGACGACTTGGTCAACAAGCTCACCAATGAGCTGCCCGAAGGTGTTGACCCAACCCAGAAAGAGGTGTGTGTGTGTGTGTGTGTGTGTGTGTGTGTGTGTGTGTGTGTGTGTGTGTGTGTGTGTGTGTGTGTGTGTGTGTGTGTGTAATAATAAAACCTTTAAGGGCCTTTTTCTTACAAAAAAAAGCAACTGCAATGTTTATTTATTATTTGATAAAGCACAAATGTACTCTTTAATAACAAAAGGTAATTTATGTCTGAGGCCTTTGCACCATAGACTGTTTGTGAGATGTAAACATGTACCTTGTTGCTTTTTCAGAAATACCTGTCCGACTCTGACTTCAACAACATTTTTGGGATTAACAAAGATGACTTTGCCAGCATGCCACAGTGGAAACAACTGAAAATGAAGAAAGAAGTGGGGATGTTTTGATCAGATTCATATCTGTTTTGTGTCAGCCCCTCCTGATCTATAACTAGCAACTTTCCACGTTAGCTCAACCTGATTTTCGATTAAATGCAATGCATATATTCATATTTTTATATTGTAATTCATTGTTCCAAATCAATGTAATACAATCTTCAGTACTTAATTGTATCCTGTGTTGATGTTGTACAATCAACAGATGAATTATTTGTGATATTAATTGAACTCTCAGTTTGTAAAACCTATCAACTGTATTGCTTATTTATCTGTGTGTGTTACTGAAAACCTATAAGAAGTATTTCAGTACTGATGAAAACACAAGACAAGATAACATTTAGACATAAAAACAACACATTTAAATGTGGTTTACTTTTTTTTTTTTTAAACAGATACAGCTAAGAACCTGAATAGTAAAAACTGAACTAAATGGAATATGTTAACAGGTTTAAATGATCAACATCACTTAATAATTATTTTTTTATATCAATTGTATTAAATATGAGTTTCCCACTAAACAACAAATCAAACGTAAGGAGGCTCTGACTCCTTCATTTAATAAAGGTCTGCTCTGCCATCTATTGGACAAACGTCCGGCGTACACAATTCAGAGAGCAAAATAAAAAGTTAATTTTGAAAGTGACTTCCAACATGATGTGAATGTTTATCACTACTGATAAGCTTGTGACTTGTGTTGGAAAATAACTGAGTGAAAATGTGTGATCCAATTATCATGTCAAGAATATGTAAGTAAAAATAAATCAGCATCAGCATTGTTCACCTTTTTTATTTTTGACATGTCTCAAACGTGATTTCCAATACAAGTATACGTTGTTGTAACTTACTGATACATTTGAACTTTAAATACAAAGCTCAGGACAACAATATATAGAGCAATAAAATGCACCAAATTACAGTAAGAACACTTCTTTTGGACCAATGTGATTACTCGAGAAATTGTCCCCAAAAGAGTCTGTTTGCCTACAATGCTGAACAGCGCTGTATAAGGAAATTAAGTTCATTATAAAAGATGATTGATCAGATTTAAAGTCAAAGTAACTTCACTTTACTGGTTTATTACAACAAACCAAGTCCTTTGACCTAGACACAAATCATGACATAAAAGGAATTGTTGATGACAAAAACAACAAATGATTGTGTGTTCATGTAAAACCATCTGACCTGATCAAGAACTGACTACAGTGCCACCACACAGCACTACAGTAACATCTGACTCATCAGAAAGCAGCTGTTTGTGCATCATGGCCGCCAACATAACCGGTAATCAAGTATTCTCATGTGAGCCAGCATTATGTGATAAGACTTTGTGATGAAAGTAGTACAAAAGATTAAATACAAATATTACAAACCCACAAAATGATAAGCAGCTAAATTCTGCAAACATTCGACCCCTTTTTAAAATGACAGTAAAAATGTTGTTCCACTTTTGTTTTTCTTGTAACCGTATCAGATATGAAAATTGTGATTTTATTAAATTGGTAGTGTCATGTAGTTTTCTCTCCCTTTCAGTAAACAATTTGTGACACATTTGCAACAACAAAAAGGTCCCTTCAAAATCTTTGCAGTATATACCTTAGATCAAAGTATGATTTAATATACGTGTACTGCGTGCAAAAGTACTAATAAATGACGGATCAATTCATGTGCAGTTTGGAAATCGATATACATTCTTAGGTGCTCATGCAAACTATCACGAATGAGGTGAAAGGGTCTACTTTGATTTAAGCTTTTAAGGAATGTAACATCACATAAAAAAAAAAAATTGCGATTAAATACAAAGTGTTTACAGCAATCAGACTTACAAAGAGACTAGTTTTCAGCAAGTTTCACTGCAAATGTGCAAGTACAGTGTAACCATGCAGGCAGCCTGCCGCAGGTCAGCTGATCACTTCTCGCTGACAGGTTTGGTTGTTAAGGGAATGTTGCTTTAATGTAAATCGGACACATTTATGCCACAAGAACTTTAGAAAGTGCAAATGCAGCCAAATGAATTTCCCTAATTTCAACGTAAAAACAGGAAAAAGGGACGTTTATATAAAAGATAAAAAAATACATCTTCTTTTAAAGATTAGCAAGGCAGCAAAAAGATGGCATTTTCCCATACTTTAATTTGTATCGTATTAACCCTTCCAACAACTGCCTTTGATTACCTGTAGCCGCTCTTAGCTTCCAAAAATCGATAAACATGTCCTACACTTTCTTTACAGTGAGCTCTGCAGCTGGGGACAGTAACAACACATATCTTTAAATGCATTGAATAACTGCGTGTGTCTTAAATGTCTCTCTAACTCGAATTACAAATGTGATGAACATGAACTGTTCCTGTCCAGTTCCTCAGAGCTCACTGTGTTTTGTCTACAGGTAAATCCTGATGTTGTGTCCTGGCAGCTGTTAGTATACAACAAAGCTTATTTAAAGATTAAAAGAGGTAAAAGGTCAAAGCAGCATGGACTTTTTTTCCATGTCTATCAATGTAATATAACAAAGAAAAGTTAAGACGGATATTAAAAATAAACTATTGGCAGATAGTATTAAGTAGTCATTAGTGGAGCTGGTGAAACACCCGAGTCCTGAGTTGTTTTGTTGTGAATTTAAACGTACAGTGTATTACAACTAGGGCTGCCATTAACCATTATTCTCATTATCAATTAAGCTAAGGATGAATTCATTATTAAAGTTGTACAATTACAAAAACTAGTGGAAAACTACCTTTTGGTCTTTGGTGACGTTTTCAAACTCCCAAAGATATCTCTTTGACATTTTAGAATGTGAAACTAGCACTCGTTTTAGCAAAATGTTAATTAATAGATTGCCTAATTAGTTACAGATACATTTTCTATTGATCAACTAGTTAGTTATAACTTTTGAGGTACGTTTTAACCTCGAGGTTATCAAAGAACAAAACTATCGATGTTGGTAACTTTCAAATCAAAGAGCTCTTGAATCGCACCAAATGATTAATAATCAATAACCTAAGGTCCTTTGACCTTTTGCCCAGTATATGAAACAGATTAAGACACAACACAAGCTTCAGGGTTTTTGGGGTCTTGGGGATCCCCATTGACCGGAGCGTTGTTAGGAGAACTCTTCTCTGAATCGTGAGGCAGATCCAATTCGCCCTCCTCACCCGGAAACTCCCTGTCCTGCTCTGGAGTCTCGGCAGATGCATCCTCGTAGGCACTTATGCTGTCGGAGTCTCTTCCTTCCTCCAACCCATTTTCGTAAGGCCTCTGCAGGACCCCGTCTGCGAACGGGTTGTCCACTGCGAGAGAGGGCATGTGGCCCAGGGGCTTATTGACAATCATACGCAGCTTCATCAGAAGGCTCTCTTCCTCTTCCCCGTCGCTCTCTACCACTTCCTCTGACGCACTAGCTCTGGTTTCACAAGGCGACGAGTCTTTCATCAACTCCTTTGAATCATTTTTCACTTCTTCACTTTGTCTTGTTATCTGGTCCACCTCGTCCACACCTTCATGTGTGTTTTCTGGAGCAGATGGCTTGTTATTCCTCTCCTGCAAACACACATTTAATTGGACATTAAATTAAGATTCTTTGAGTTAAAACTAAATATGGTTCTATTTGCTATTTCTTATCAATATGGCAGCAAAGAAAAGCCATTAATTTCTTAGTTTATAGGCGACTAAATACATGATTGTGAAATGTTATCTCTACTGGATACTTAATGAAAAACCAACATCACTGCTAAATAATTTCAGATTTATTTTTGTCATGGCAAATATATTTTTGTATGATCAAGTTTAATACTGCATGACTTTAGTGTACCTTTACAGTACTTCATGCACTGCCATGGCTAGTAATACAGTCAGTAACTTGTACAAGTTGGTAGAAAAAGGGGATTACTATAAGATATCCACGGGGAATACAAACATGCACCATTCTCCCTTATTTATGTTAAATAAGAAATGATCTAACTCCAAAAAAACTGTAACATAACAAGTTCCATAAGACTTCAGATATTTATATTCAGAAACCTTGTGCTACTGTAAAGTTTGCAACATTAATTGTCCCATTACCTCTGTTAGTCTCTCCACCTCTTGCATCAGAGAGCTGACCGTGCTCTCCAGTTTCCTCTTGGCCTCCCTTTCTCGTCCCAACTCCTAAAAATAGAGGAAAAACGCTTTTAGATCTGATACAAGGAACAAAAAATAAACGTCTCATTAGATAGGATGGGATAGGGTGGAGCCATATATATTTTTTCTGTAGTCAAATGTTTTAATTGTTTTGAAGCTAAGCAACGTTTCAGAGTTATTGAGCGTACCGAACTAGCCTCCCCAGCCTCCCTGTGGGCCTCAGCCAGCAGCTCCTCCACACCCTCCAGCGTGTCCTGCAGGACGTCCACCTGGAACAACAGAGTCTCTCTCTCCACCTCCAGCCCACGCAGCTCCTGCACCACCTCGTCATAGCTGGCCTGCAGCTCCAGCTACACCACAGACACACATACAGATCAGTGTGGGCAACTTTAGGGAACAAATGCCAGTCAGTGGGTGGACAAGTGTTTAATGAGCTCTCATAGCTATCAGTGGGAGGAATCCTCTGGAAGCACGACAATCCCTCAATATGTAACGGAAAAGGCATCACTGATCTAATAAACCTGATAGCACTTTACTTGAAATAGTAATATTGAAATAAATATACAAACAGTAAGAAATACTCACCATTTCTGGGAGTCCCATGTAGATGTCCTGGTCCGAGTGCTGAAAGGAAAACAAACTATTTAAAAATAGTTCATTTGTAAACAATGTTTTTATATTAAATTCATTAAATGCATGCATGATCTCAAAAAGACCATATAGGATCTTTCTCTTTTGCTCCTCTAGTTTACACATAAAAACTATAATATGACCCGAACAATAAATAACAAAACAATTATGGCAATTGATATTACCATAAATCCTTAGTGTTATTAGTGCTTCTCCTACGATCACATGTTACATTTCGGCTGTGAAACAGGGCTCAGAATGAGACAAGTTTTTTGACAGGGTCCAAAAGAGATTGTATGTTTTACATCTGTTACAATATATTTCCTCTGTAACTGAGAACCGTATAAGCCTACCTTAAAACATAGTTTGTTTTGTATGCCTTCATGGTTAGATAGGGTCAAACGTTTAAAGCTATCAGTCTGTTTTAAGTGCACTAACACTCTAACAGTGCCTACCCTTTGTTTTATCTTTGTGTAGTTCATTTTCTAGTGTCACATAATCTGACAATCTATCACTGAAAAAGCAGCTATCAAAAGTTGTGACCTCTAAATACTGCCCTGCACCATGTTAGATAACAGCTCTCAAAAAGTCAACATGGGATTAAGTATGATAAAAAAACATTAGCAATATAACTGACATTATTATTCAGGTCATGCAATGTGATGGTGGACAGAATTGAGTGTAACACCAGTTTATGAGGATTTATATCCATCAAACTCATTGCCATCGATAATAGTTTACATCAGTACTGGTAAATGTATAAAACAGAAAAGAATGCCAAACTGAAGGACAACATTATCTTTAATGTTCAAGGACAATATTAAACTGATTTAAGCTGTCAGTTAAAATGTAATAAAGCAAAATTACCATTACATCCCTCTGAAATGTAGTGGATGGAGTAAAGGCATAAAGTAAAAGATTAATAAATTAATAATAAAAAGATAAAATAAAGATTATTAAAGTACTTCAAAACTGCACTTTAGCACAGCACTTACATTTTAAATATACTAAGTGACTTACATGTATTCATCATTAGATTGCAATGCGAATGACACATGAGTCATACACTGTAGAAATCCAGGACAATGAAAGTGATTGCAGCTAGAGATCAATACACTATTTAACTCGAGGTGTTTTTATCTGCCTGTCCCCTCTTCATGTGATACGGCTCCTACCTGGCTGTCGGTTCTCCTCTTCAGTGTGCCTGCTCGGCTGTCGCTTCGTGTCAGACGCCTGGAGGAATTCTCGGTCTGAAAGAAAGGAGAACACACCTTAAGTCGGAGGAAGAGCCTAGCATCACAACGTTAGTCAGAACCACAACAAGCTAATGTTAGCTAAGGAAGTGAAGTAAAGCTGGAGGCCTGACGGTTTATTTATGCCGTTGGATAGACGTCAGTGTTAAACCGATAATTAAATAGATTCAAAACGTTGTTAACGGTATATGTTTTTTAAAAGTAAACTGACAGTCTAAACACTAGCTCTGAACAAAATTCGGTATCGTCGCCGACTCGCCGTGATTTCTCACCTCTTTTATAATGCTGCGGAGAGACTCATCTTCGCTCAGTCCCCGCGATATTGTCCGTTTCCTTGGCGAACCATTGCTTTCCAACGTGACTGAATGCATTTTTTTGGTATGTTTTAGATGAGGTTTACGTAAGAAACACCTCCGAGCTCTCTGTGGGTGAAGAGGTGTTTTGTTGTTTCCTACGCAGCAGCAGCAGTGAGTGAACTGCCGACGCCCAGGCCGTGATCTACGGAGAGCCGCGGGGACCAAACTCCGTTAAACACAACGCCCTCACTCCGCCCACGGAGGAGTCAAAGGTTAGGGTTTTATAACTGTGGGCTGGCATTTAATGTAAATTGTTTGATTTTAGGTAATCCCAGGCACCGTGGCGCTTGTCAAGTCCTAAAATAATTGATGACAACAAGGCTAAACTGTTTTCAGATGAGTTTGATGGTGTATTAGTCTAGGTGTAATTTGTACAAACTTGAAGTAGCCTAGCATAGATGAGGGAAGTGTGCATGGTTACAATAACAATACAAAAACTAATCTTCTTTTGTGCTAATCCTCATACATTTATAGTGTTATCAAAATCATAACAAAATCAAGTTCAGCCAAGCACTGCTCATACCCTGGACCCACCCCCAAAGATACCCAAGGCTGAAGATAAGATAAGATATAACTTTTAAACCTATTACTTTACTTTTCACTTATCTTACTTTTTGTGAAATAGTGAACAGTTTGATCTTAGCTAACAGTTAGACACAACTATGTGAAATAATATCGCCTGTAGGTGGAACAGAGACGTCTAATCTGTAGCAAGGGGCCCCAACACACTACCTTTTTTGTCAGGGTGCACAACAACAGATACATTGAACTACTCTTTCAAACACACGCTAAGGGCAGTTGGGTCTACAAGAAACAGCTACTTACCCTCACAATTTCTACCACACAATTGCAGTACAAATGTATTTGTTATCTTTGCCATTCCTTTTGTATAACAAGTGTCACCATCTATATCACAAAAGCAAGTTCGATAGCCACGCCATTATGCATGCCAATATATATGCAACCAATATTGAAAAGATAAATTCCCAACGGTTTAAGATTACATAACATTACATAAGATAAGATTCAACTTGAAGGAAATGTATAAAATATATAAAGAATATTTTTAAACTGTGTTATTACTGCTCTTACTGCTCTTACTTCAGTTACAGTGAGTACATCCACCACTGCTTGAGAGCTGTCAGTTTGATTGAATGTATTCAAGTGAAGAGCTTGGATGAACTGCTTCACATTTCTCTCCTTGTTCCATAGCATCATCATCATGGCCTGAGTTTCTTGATAAATGTGGTTTGTGACAAAAGCTCAGCATCAGAGGTCAGAAAGTTAAGCGCCTCCTGATGCCTGATGCCTGAGTTGTTTATGTGCTGATGTGCATTTTGGTTAATATTCATACATATCTATAAGCACATGTAAACATACTGTTCAATATACATACATAAGTTGATGCTTAGCATGTACAATGCAAATCACGACTTAATATTTATTTTCCTCTGAAGAGTGTATTCAATGAATGACTATAGTCATTCTTTGAATACTCCAAAAATGACCATTTATTTCATGGTGTGGGCCAGGTGCTCTGGGTTGTGACTCTGCTAATGAGATTGTTGGAGAGAAAAATCTGGACCTGGATCTTCTGCCTGTCGCTGTCTTACATGTGTTGTACACTCAATGTAAAAAATATTTCAGCATCATGGGTAATACACATTTAATTGCTTGCTAATAGTAAGATTAGAAGAATTATACCACTCATATGGTTTTCTGTTTGTAATATGCAACTTTTATTCTACAAAACTATTTAAATATTACCACCCTTTGCTGCAAAGATAACTCAAGTTGTTTTATTATTTTGCTCAAAGTGGATTTCATATATTCATTCACTTGTTATTTAGACACGTATATCAACTATCAACCATGTATTTCAGACAGTGGTGGAAGATTGCTCATAATATAACTCAAACATGATCCGTTCTGCAACTGCAACTGTGTTTTCCTCCAGCAGGTGACACTAGTGGGTCAGTGATGGTTCACTGAGGGCAGGAGAGAACTGGTCCAGTGAAGTACATTAAGAAATCAGTTCCATCACAACTTTTATTTAGCAGATATAAATCCATGAATACAGCATCTCTTCATGGATGGTTGGGATACATTCTGGTCTGATCCTAAGGCATTCTGGCATGGATAAAGTGTGAGCCAAAGAAGAGTTATCTATTATTCACAATGACATTTTATTAATGTGTTTTCCATTTTCGCAAGGAATATAACTACTATCAAATAATTGTCAACTGTATACATTATAAATACTTATAAAGTAGGCTAAGCAGACTTGCTGCTACTGAATGACTTGTATCAATATATTAATAATGACAGTTAGACGTATTTTTTACATTAGCATAAGAAGCAGCCTTTTTAAAAGCACACTTGAATTTTATAGGCCATGATTTAGAATGAGGAGGCCAGTAATTACTTAACTGCGGCCACTCGGACGCAGTCATGCATCAGATAGGCACGTGCAACTTCTAAATAATTTGCATCTAGTATGGGTCTATGAACAATACCCATCAGTCGGTTTCTTGTTAAAATGCACCGTAAATATTAAGATGTGTGTGATTTACGAGAGGCTGTGCTGCATTCGTGTTGAATCCATTAAGCTTTTTTCCTAATTGTACACCATAATAAAGCTTTTTTAACAACAGGCGCAATGACCCATAGTTTTTGTCATCATCATAATAACCTAATTGGGCAGTATCTCTAATGTGAGACATTGTTTGTGCACTGTAAAAACATTTATACTCTCATAACAGTGCGTGCACCCTCCCTTCGCTCTGTCCCTCTTGACTTGGTGACAGACCTAAAAGCCTTTTGTTGCAATCTTAGCCAATGGAGACGGATTACGACACCGGGCAGCTGAGATATATAAAGAGCCCCTTTTTGACCGCACTTGCACATTTTTCAGTGACACTTCTGAACATACACACCTCCATGGACTAAATTGTACAGAAGACCCCAAAACAACAATTATACAACACGTGAGCGCGCTATGCATTTAACAAGCAGATAATTTGTTCACTTTCAATCAAGACAGCCTGCACCGAGACACACTGGGACGTACTTTTTTCTTTTTTTAAATTGATTGCAAAATCTTATTTATCGCAAAAACTTCGGGGTGATTGTATTGGATTAGATGCATGCCACTGATACCCTGCCTGTTGTAGGATAAGGCAAAGAGCGGCGCACATCCGAGAGAGGGGATATAACGGTATAAAGCGATTGAATAGACAAAAAAAGAAAGAAAAAAGTTGCATAGCCTGGTGTCCACGCATCGTCATGCCGAGGTACAACTTCATGCTGTGCTTCATGGTGCTCATCTCCCTGGGACAGTCGGGGAGCGATGAGCCCAATGTGCTGCTGCCTTCGGCCAGCGAGACGCCCACGGATGCCGGGCTGTCCCTGCTGGACGAGGACGCCGGTTCTCACGAGTGTTCCGCCTGTGTTTGGAGGGAGCAAAGCAAAGTGCTGAGACTGGAGACCATCAAGTCCCAGATCCTAAGCAAGCTGCGGCTGAAACACGCGCCCAACATCAGCCGGGAGGTGGTCAATCAGCTGCTGCCCAAGGCGCCTCCGCTCCAGCAGCTGCTGGACCATCACGACTTCCAGGGAGACGCGTCGTCCCAGGATGAGTTTATGGAGGAGGATGAGTACCACGCCACTACGGAGTCCGTGATCACCATGGCCTCTGAGCGTGAGTAATAGTTTACAACCCAACAATATTGTCTCCAAATGCGTCATGCGCGTAATTGTGGAGAAGTTAGGCTCAAGTGACTCAGGCCTGCTGCGTGGACAGTGGAGCTGCTGATGCTCATTCAAGTCATTGATCTACCCTACTTGTCTTTTTTAGATTGGGGCTCTATACTGTGTTCCTAAAGCAGAATGATGACATTAGACTAAAAACTGTGGTCAGCTGCTGGCCACGGCTGTCAAAATAGGGATTTCACGTGAAGCTGATAAATCAATAATCAGCAGCATATAGGTCACTCTGAAACAGACAGCTCCAATATGGCCTGATGAACTTTTGTTTTCATGGTGATGATGGAGTCCTGTTGGAGCAGCAGTCTAATATTAAGCTTCGCAGTCCACCTGCTGTCATGTTCAAACTTTCCCTCTTTCGGATGATGTGTTTGTGAGTAAACGCATGACAGAGCCGTGAATGTCAAGTGCATTAATGATTAATGGTAATGCAGCATTTGGCTAGCAGTTGCACCACTTTATCCTTTATGTCTTTATTTTGCATAAAGGCCCTAAATTATGGAGTTATGATCACGTCGTGAGGCCCTCTGATTATTGCCCCTCTAACTATTTGCTCGCCCTCTTATAGTTCCCCATAAATCCACTGATAAACCGCAGGCAGGCCCCTTGGAGACATTTTATAAAATTACTGTTGAACCCTGGCAGCTGTGCTCTATCGGTCTTTTATAGGAGGCTCTACCGGTTTCCCTGCTGTTCATCGCAGTGAGAAAAAGTGTGTCCAAAAAGCTGCTATTGTTCCCCTCATGCAGCGGCCCCCCTCGGCCGCACTTGCCTTTTAAATGCGAAGTTTATGGGCGCAGCTCGTTTTTTTTTCTTCACCACGGGTACACAAAGACAGAGAATCACTTAGGGTCGAGGGGAGTGTGTGACCTTTCCCTAGCGAATCGTGGGGTTCAGCAACATTAACACACGTAATATATTCTGCACAAGGCGGATAAAACACACTCCTAATAATCAGTTTTTCTCTCTCAGAGTGAACAAAGATACGCCTGTGTGCAGGAGCCTTCGTCCTTATGTGCTGTTTGACATTATTAAATGCTCATTATTCTAGATATATATCTATACATCTACATCTATCTGTACATCTATACATATCTATACATCTATATCTCTGTTTATCTGTACATATCTACCTATACATCTATATCTCTGTTTATCTGTACATATCTACCTATACATCTATATATCTATCAATGTTGACAGTCCCACCTATCGTTCTGATAACAGCAAATCAACCTTCACTTGACATGTTACAACTGCCAGCTCTTAATGTTATCTGAAACGAATCTCCATTTCCCACCACTCTTTATCTCAGCTTTTCACTTTTAGTTTTGAAATACCACTTGCAAACATCTCTGTTCACCCTATTATTGTCTCCTCTGAGAGATGTGTTTTCTTCCTGTAAACAATGCAGTTCATTCACTCCAATGGAGAATGGTGCACAGCTACATCTAACAGGTGAATTGAAGAGTCCTCGTAAAGCATTTGACATGTCATTTGTCAACCGTTTTCTTTATCTATAGGCTATTTTTGTGATATTTAAACTAAAGAATTGTGTTAGCTCTAATGCTGATCCTCATCTATATCTCCCTCTGTTCCTATTTCCATTACTTGCTGAAAAACACATAAATGTTATGCATGCTGACAATGGAGATAATGTATAATGTCTTATCTCTCTAATTTGCAGATTAACCCTACATAGAGTTATTCCGTCTCCACCTGTGCAGATACAATGAAACTGCATGCTTAACACACTTAATCTGCATATTACAAGATACATCTACCATCTCCTAAATGTGAATTATGCTCTTTGCTTCCCACACTCACACACAACACACCATGCAAAGTGATATGACACCATCTCAAGCCAGAAAAAGGCATTATGCATGACGCTGGCTAATTGCATATTTTTGAACGGCCTCATGCAGAGCCAGAGGAGCTAATGTCTGACATTACCGCTGTATCTGTCATGTTACAGCACTTCCTGTTCTGTATTGTTTGCCTCATCTCTTCACGTCAGCTGCAGTTTTTATCATCTGCTCCTTCTCTCCATCTCTCTCTCATTGCCACCCCTCACCCCTCCCTCCCTCCCTCTACCCCCCCACCTTCCTCCCTGTTAGCCCGCTCTCTCCTTCCTCTTCTTTTCCTCCGGTACTCATGGAAGAGTTGAGAGAATGAGTGCATCTCTTTTCGCCTGTGGCGCCTTAGTGATCCCACAGGATTAAAAGTGCCTTTTCTGTCTCTCTGATAGAAGGAGGACTTCAAACACTATTGCCTGCGCACCTCAAACCCAATCACCCTTTTCACGGTGGTGCACACTGCCTTTGATGGGCCATGTGGGTTCACACAGTACATACTGAACTGGACCTGTGCCAGAGTTGCTTCTTAGTATTCACTCAAGGTACGTGGGTGTCGCAGTGGGGGTTGAGAGGGTCCATGCTTCCTGGTCTCTAATTACTATGACATTTCATGGAAATGTACAGCTATTTATATCATAGTGCAGCACTAAAACATCTCCCTCCATATGGTGTTGTGTAGGTAACCGCACCGCTCGCTGTACATAAGAAATGAGTTAGTTTGGAGCAGTTCAACAGAGTTATTCTCCAGCGCAGCATCGTGAATGAGTGATGATTTTTTATTAACAAATGTTATTACATTTACATATGAGTCGTTTGTTTTACGTTGATTTGTGTGTGTTATTGTGCGTGCATATGTGTGTTCAGTTTTGCCTGAGGTGGGGTGACAATCTGACCCCAGTAGTCTCTCATTTGTCACCTGTCCACATTAAGCCCTTCCTCTCCCAACAGTGACCTTCTCCTTTTATTCTCCCTGTCTCTGTATGCATGTGGTGATGCTGATAAACTGACACCCACGATTCAACTGTTCTATTTAATACTAAGAAGCAGGACAAATATGTTAAGAAAATACTTCTCATGGGTATGACTTAGCTTGGAAAAGCTTTATTTATTTTTGTATCATGTCTTCCCTTGAGTAAACTTATATTTGTGCTGTGACATAATGAGTAACGTTGAAACGGCCCCGTAAGAGAGAATCCAGCTGAGAGCAGCAGGCCCTCTGAGCCTTATTCCACGTTTACATTTATACATTGCATTGTGTTCAAAGCATATGAAATCAGTAATGATCTGCAATAAACACTTTACCCTTTTAAAGGATTGAAAAAGCAGTTTTAGATATAAAGAAGATCACACGTGAAACATTTCTAATGACCAATCAGCTAATCTTGCTTTAAGCAATCTTAATAATTTTATAACAAAATGTTTTATCTTTCCTTCATGATTTTATGTACACCAACATTAGGAGGGCTGTACTTGTTTTATTATGTAATCCTGTTGAGAAGAGGCTCTTTCAGCTTGAGCATAGGCTTAGACAACTCTTGAGTTGAAAAACGAACATCTACATGTAAAGGTACGAATGTACACATTTCCACATGTGCACACTTGTGAAGACACATGAGGATGCTCTCCCTCTCTCACACACACACTCTCACACACACACTCCAGAGAAAAGTTCTCCTATTGACAAAAAGGGTCACAGAGTTCACAGCTATGTGATATATTGGAAGAGGAGACTATTAACCTCATCGGGTCTCTTTCTTTGGCAGCAAAGACGAACCGGTAGTAACTTGAACACTTATCCCCCCCACACACACACACACACACACACACACACACACACACACACACACACACACACACACACACACACACACACACACACACACACACACACACACACACACACACACACACACACACACACACTCATCCTCTAACCACTCCCACAAAAAAACAAGTCTTTTATAGTGTTGACCCTATAAAAGGGTCATTTCCTGAAGGTGCAGGAACCATAAAAATTAAGAGGGAGAGCGCTAAAAGGACAGAGCAGCAGAAGCCGGACTGTCTTCAACTCACTGGCCAGTGTTTGCTAGAAGTTGATGACTATGTGAGGTTTTTATAGATTTATTTATTCCGTTGAGGTCTCAGTTTGACGATGACACCTGTTCTCCCTGTGTAGTTGCTGCCATCAGTTGAGGGAAAGTAAACTTTGTGTTGAATTGTTTGGACACTTGGGGGCACGACAGATTTGTTTTGTAGAAATTGCACAACATACTGTCAACTTTATGGCTTATAACATTTCAAAGGGACCAAAGTCTATTAATACAGGGACAACATTTCCCCAGGACCTCAGGAATCTCACTCCTTCCCCTATTCCCACGCTCCTGTGTACCAGTCCCTGCAGCCGGTCTTCTCTCCTGCCATTTTAAAGTATGTTGCTGAAGAATTGTATGCGTGCCTAATCAAAATACAACCCTGAGAAGTTGGGATACTGGATGAAAGAGTGCACTGATGTCACTTTGGAGGCATGGCTTTGCATGAATATCTTCGGTTTTCTTATATAAAAATAATATCTGCCTTCACTGCCTGTGAGCTACTCGTTGCTTCTTTGAAGGATTTCAGAGAGAGATGGAGTTGGGTGCACCACGGCTCACACAGCGGGTTTGAATGGGGGTGGGGGGGGGGGGGGGGGGGAGTCCGCAGGGAGCAAGAAGCATCCCAGTCCCATCCTAAAGGGACAGAAATCATCATGCAAGGGTTTTATAGGTACAATTAAAAAGACCTGAAACAGATGTTACGTTTCACTAATAAAGGAAATAATTACTTCACACCAGTAATTAAGCCCTGTGTAGGGACATGAATGAGTAGGAGGAGGGGAGTGAAAAGATAAAATGGAGATCATTGAGGGGATTATTGTTGATGGATGCGCCAAGGCTCTGTGTGGTCGTGTGCGAGGAGCTGCTGAGGATCAGTTTATGAAAGAGTCCATTAAATCTAAGAGGCGTTTAAGCAAAGGAAATGCTGCATTGGCATAATGCTTGATCCCTTGAGGGAGCCACTGTGTCGGATAGAAGCACAA